GTTCGGTTCTATCACTCCTTGGCTACGTGTTTGGAAGTTTGGCACCGTTCCTTCATTCAGTGGCCCAAGGCCCTGAACCTTGGGTTCCTATGGACACGTGGCATGGACACGTGGTATGTGACATGTGGCATCTGTCACGTGGCACAAAGAGGGTTTAGGTTCCGCTTTGTGGTGTTATCCTATGGTAAATCACCATAGGATAAAAGGTCAAAACCACGTGCGCTACAGCCGTGGATTTGAAGGTTTTGTGATGGGTTTAAAAATTCTGCATTACTTGCTAATGGCTTACCATTTTGGCATTTATATTCTCAATATCACCTTAAAGACGACTTTTTTTATTTTATAAGGATGAATCTTAATGATCATTTATGGTTGGGTGGTGCTTTCAATCTTTATTCCATGCTTTCTCCACGTCTACCATGATTCTCCTATTTTATATGGGTATATAAAACATCATCGTATGATTGAAAAGCTGCATAAGTCTTTTTATTAGCCAACGATGCAATATGATATTATTCAGTATATATGTAGTTGTATTTGGTGTAAAGTTTGTAATACTCTCCTTTGTGTTGTGGAAGGATAGTTCAAATCAATTGCAATTTTTTGTTTGTTTTAGTTAGTGGTGTTTGATTTGATAAGTCGATTACTAACAATGAGTATATTATTATTATTTCTAACTATTTGACTCACTTGGTGGAAGCCAATGCTCTTACTAATGTGTTTGCAACTACTATTGGCTACTTTCTCCTAAATTGTGTGGTGTTCTAGCATTCTTTTCCGAAACAAATTCTCTTAGATAATGATTTTATATTTATAATTGAGGTATTTCACATTTTAACATCTTAGTAAGGGACTTTTGCAAGTGTTTATCAGTCTTAAATAAATTGTTTGGTGGAATGGCTCATTTGAACTTTCAAAGGATGATCATAAAATACATGAACTTTTAGCATTTGGATTGGGATGGTTATTTGCTATTTCTTTAGTATGTATATATAATAGGGGTACAAAATTTTATTGGTACTTTACCATATAAACTCTTATATGGTTAAAATCTGATACTGCCAATAGAGTTGAGTTTACTTTCATAATTGTCGTAAGTTGCCAATACTAGATCTTGGGATCATTATTTGACAAGAATTCTTCCATTTATCTAAGTAAAGCTTCTTGAACACTTAGGCTACATACAAGTGGAATAATAACAATGCTACAACTCCCATCATTGTCCATCCGCAAAATACAAATTGAATGATTTAATGCTAGTCTATTTTCCCAATCTTACAATATGTGGTTTATCTAAAGGGATCATTGTTTAGTAGAAAGGACCATATTGGATGTTACGGCAAGTTGGAGATGGTACATAATTTGTTTAAAGGGCTTTTTGTTCAATGTAAGAGACCATATCATGTATTGCAACAAGTTGAATCACAAGCATGACATTCAATAAATTGATCCTCTAAAAATTATGCATATGTAGCAACTAAAACACTTAATACAAAGGGATTAAGAATAACTAGCACCATCTATAAATCCACCTGTGCCTCTTCTTGATATTCCTTTAGATCCCAACTTATCAACTAGAGAATTCTAACGGCCTTCCATCATTCCAAGAGCAGGGGATGATATGAGCTCCAAGTGTATAGTTATGATGCCGTATACTAATATTAATATAATGAATTTTGATAGTCATTGGATTGGTTTCAATTTAGACGATTTACTCTTGTATATAAGCTAGGGATTTTAGGTTAATTAATATGAACATTTCAATATTCTATTTTCATCTTCCATGCACTCACAAATATATATTTTACTATGTATTGCCCAACATATGCTGCCCAGCTAGTAAAATATTGTTTTTAATTATTATAATTTTTTATATTAAAAACTAAATTGGAATAATATCAAAAAAATAAATATTGTATTCCAATTTGAAAGATATGAAGGGAATTATACTCAGAAAATGCTAGATAAATATAAAAATCAATAATTTTATACAAATATTTTACTCTTATAAACTTGATAATATCTAGGCATAAGTACGAATAAATATTCATTAATAAAAAATATTAGATACAATTTTTTTGGAAATATAAATATTTAGAAAACTACCCAACTCAAAAAAATATAAAATTGGAATTTTTATTATTAATTATATGTTATATGGAAATTATATTTTTACTTAAGATAAAATTGTATTAACATTTTATTAAATAAGAGATTAATTACTAAGAATAATTATTACTAGTTTATTTATTAGCAAGACATTACTTAATTATACATTTTTCTTAGAATATAAAACAATAAATGTGTAGGAACATTAATATATTACTACCCAGATCCATCTACAAAAACAATTATTAATAATATATTTTATATATATATATGTTATAGAAACTGTAAATTCAAATATTTTATTCCATAGTATTATGTTCAAATAAACTATGTTTGCAGTTAGGAAATATCTAAGTCTACATTTAAAAATATAATAAATACTTTTATTATTAAAGTTGTTTATTTTGTTTGTATTAACAATTAGAGCTTTGATCGTCCTACACACTGATAAAAATAAACCAACCCACATTTTGTATATCAATCACTTGGTGTTTGATTCCATATGTTTTAGTGATATCTAAACAGGCCATCTTATATAAAATATAATTTTCTTATTATATTTATAAATACTGTTATATTAAATTATAAAAGTTAATTTTGACCTAAAATATTCAAATATTATAAGCTTAGGTGTATTTTATTCATAAAGCATTAAAAATAAATTTACTCTCTTGGGAAACAATTAAACAAAATGCGAATCTCTGCCAATTTTGGATTTTGATCTGGTGATGCCACCAAAGACATACATAATTTATCACCTCATAGTACAACTTGGATTAACAAGAGCACTGTGCATTGCCACAAGATCTTTTAATACCACACTTCCCATCACCATGGGCATCACAATTAACAAGAAATAGAACCTACTATCAAAGTCAAGCCAGCACCCAACATGCAATGTCCTTATCTCTGCACCCATGAATTCACCTAATAAAGAAAGTAAAAACCTTACATCCTGATGACCATGTGGATTTGCCACAATGAGGAGCAGGTAAGCCATGAATGCCCCTCCTCTAGTGCCAGTGGCTGAAAAACTACATGCCAAGCAATTTTTCATTATGATGCCCAACATAAATCCTCTTGGCATTGGGCACAACAATAGGAGTGCCAATCTTTGGGTTTCTGGAGCAATGCAAGCTTCTAGGCCTCAGCAATGCTAGTCAGTGGCCACCTCCTGTCCTGCTTCCCTTGGAAACTTCGTGGCTGAGGAATTGCAGTAAAAGGAGAGTTTTATCCCTCTTGCAGTGCACAAAGAAACAGGTGTAGCTCACACCTTTTCCCCCAGCCCAGCCATGCCATGTGCCCATTGGCCAGCCCAAACTTTGCAAAAATATTTCAGGACACATAGTTAAAAACTGATATTTACCAAATTACCCCCCATCAGATGGCTTTGATTGGCTGGATTTGGCAGCCAACTCCTCTTTATTATTGTAGATTTTGTAATTATATTTAAAAATTATGTATATTAATATAAATATATGGTATTTATCTTCTAGAAAATAATTAAATCTCATTGACATTAATTTTTAAAATCGGTAAAATATTTAATTATTTAGGTTTTACATGTAACCCTAAGCCTTAGGGTTCTTAATGGCGAGGAAGACGCTGGTGCTAGACGTGTGCGGCACGCTCATGTGTGAGATCAATGCCCGTGTAAGTCCCGAGCTGGTGGGATCCGCGATCCGTCTCCAAGGCGACGAGCTCGGGCGATCGATGATCCTCAAGCGACCGCATCTTGGCAAGTTTCTCGAGAGAATGGCAAAGCTTTTTGATGTGGTGGCCTTCACGTCGCGCGCGCAGCGCCGCGCAGAGACGATTCTGGACGTGCTAGATCCCGCGAAGGAGTTCTTCAGCCGCAGGCTCTACCTGGATTCGTGCAAGAAGGGGGGCAAAGTGAAAGACTTGGCGGTGCTGGAGCGGCCCCTAAATCGAGTGATCATCGTCGACGACACGAGCTCCAAGTGCGTGCTGAATCCGGACAACTTGGTCCTCGTCTCGCGATTCAAGAGGCACAATCTCAGTACTGATCGCGGGCTTTTGGATCTAATTCCATTCCTCGAGGAGCTCTCCAAGGAAGAAGTAGAGGACGTGCGACCGGTGATCCATGCAAGGTTTGGGAAGAAGGTGATGAATGTGCTCAAGCAGCAAGAGCGAGATAGCGATCATCAGACCGGCGAAACCAAGATGAAAGGCCACCAGGTGGAGGGAAGTGGCCGGATCAACGCTCTGGGTCGGGCACTGACCAAGATCTTGAGGCACCGAGCTGCGGAGCTCAACCTGGAGATGCGCAGCGATGGCTTTTGCAAGGTGGCGGACCTCCTCCGGCTGGATTTCACAACGCGGTCCAAGGTTCCACTGAGCGCGCACACTGTGGAGGAGGTGCTCCAGGCCGTGGAGCAAGACTCCAAGGAGAGGCTCGCGACGATGGTGGACGAGAGTGGCGAGCTTCTGATTCGAGCAAACCAGGGGCACACGCTGCTCGATGCCGTTTGTAGCGACGATCTGCTGGAAGAGATCTCCATAGACGATAACTTGCTGGCGGTGTGTGTCCATGGAACTTTCAAGCACGCGTTGCCGGGCATCTTGCGGGATGGCCTCAAGACGATGGGAAGGAAGCACGTCCACTTTGCGGCTGGCCTGCCCGGAGCCGGAGAAGTCGTGAGCGGAATGCGAGGCAACTGCGATGCTCTCGTCTTTGTAAACGCTGCTCGAGCTATGGCGGACGGGATGAAGTTCTACGTCTCGAAAAACGGGGTGGTGCTCACGGAAGGCTTTGAGCAGTGTGTCCCTGCCAAGTACTTCGACAAGATTGTGGAGTGGCCGAGCAATGTCCTCCTCCACGATCGCGAAGAGATCACCGAGTAGAGCAAGTTCTCGGTTGCTAAAGAAAACTAAACGATTTCTTGACTACAAAGGTTGGAAGCCATAACATAAGTTTGCGGCTTGTGCAGGTCGAGCTTTCTCGTAGCACCGCTCCCTCGATGCTTTTGGGTCTTGCAAGCTCCCAGAAAGCACGTCCACTCCACGAGATCTGGAACAAACGGCATCGTCTCGACGAGCTCCTCAGCGTCTCTCAAGTATCCGGCCCGACCCACGAGATCCACCATGCAGCAGTAGTGCTGCTTGGTGGCTGGCACTTCAAAGTCGAAGCCCATGGACACGAAGCACTGGCGCGCGTCGTAGAGGCGGCCTCCATGGCTGGAGCCGAGAAGAACACAGATGAAAGTGGCGTCGTCGGCTGGGACGGCATCCACGGACATGCTGCAAAACAGCTCCATCGTTTGCTCGAAGCTACCTTCGCCAACCTTGTGAGAATTCGCCGCAAGGATGGAGTTCCAGGAGATGGTGTCGCGGTCTGGCATTGCGAGCAGGAAGGCCTTTGCTCTGGAGAGGCTTTGGCTGTGGCTGTAGGCAACGAGCATCGAGTTCCAGGAGACGATGTCCTTCTCGGGCATGGCGGCGAAGAATTCCTCGGCCTGCTGGAGATACCCGTTCCGGGCATACGCGAAGAGCATCGCCGTCGAGGCGACCGTGTCTTGCTCGGGCATTCCATTGAACGCGCTCTTTACCTCGTCAATATGCCCGCTCCGGGCATATGCCACCAGCATGGAGGTCCATGCGATGGCATCTTTCTCTGGCATCTCATCGAATATTTTCTTGGCCTCTTCCAGGTTGCCTCGCTCGGAATAGGCGTCGATCATAAAGGTGGCGCTCCCGGCGCTCCTCTCGGGAATATTCTCAAACAAATGTTTTGCCTTGTCAAGATGCCCGGATCCGGCATTTGCAGCCAGCATGGCAGTCCACGTCGCTAAGTTAGTCTCCGGCATGGACGAAAAGAGACGCGTGGCATCATCCTGGCGCTTGGTTTGCAAGCACGCTGCTTGCATGGAGTTCCACGACAGCACATCTCTCTCGGGCATTTTGTCAAAAAGGCTCTTTGCCAAGGCAAACTCCTTGTGCTCGGCATATGCCATGAGCAGGGAGTTCCACGAGATTAGATTCTTTTCGGACATACCGTCAAACACCCCCTTGGCCTGGTCTAGCTGAGACCTGCCGGCATATGCCGCCAACATGGCGTTCTTGGCGATCATGTCCTGCTCCGGCATGGAATCAAACATACGGCGCGCTGCCAGAATATCCCCGAAATGGGCATATGCCGTCAGCATGCACGTCCAGCACACAAGATCCCTCTCGGGGATGCTGTCGAATATCTCTTTTGCCTGGTCGGTTCTGCCCGCCTCCGCAAGCGCGCCCAGCATCACCGTCCACGACACGATGCTTCGGGCGGGCATTTGCCGGAAGACGGTGCTACCTTCCTCAAAACGCCCTCCCTCGAGTAGAGCCGTCAGGCAAGTATCCCAGGTGATCTGGTTTCGATTCCTGGCCGGCATGGATTTGAAGAGGTTCCACGCGGCATCCAGTTGGCCGTTTTGGGAATATCCTGCCAGCAGCGCGTTCCACGAGAACACATCCCTCTCGAGCATCTCGTCAAAGATTCGTTTTGCCTGTGCGATCTTTCCCCGCTTGGACAGCGCGGAGAGCATCATTGTGGAAGATACCGTGTCAAGCTCAGGCATCCTGGGGAAGAGATTCATAGATTCTTTCAGATGCCCTCTTTGGGCATATGCCGAAAGCATGGCTGTCCACGAGATAAGCGTCCTCTCCGGCATCGCGTCAAAGATATTCCTGGCATCTTCCAGATGCCCTCGCTGGGCATACGCGCTGAGCATGACATTGAAGGTGACCACATCCCTCTCGGGCATCCGGTCGAAGAGATTTCTGGCATCGTGGAGATTCCCGTTCTGGGCATAACCCGTGAGCATCAGCGCCCAGCTGTAATCATTCCTGGACGGAATGGAATCGAAGACTCGCCTCGCGAGGTCGACGCTCCCGCATCGCGAGTACATTTGGAGCAGAAGATTCGAGAGGAAAGTGTTTGTGATCCCGGGTGATGATTTAAGCAGCTCGGCGTGCAGATCTTTGGCCTGTGACAGCGTCCGGCACGATCGAATTCGCGAAACCGCGCTCGAATCTCCGCTGTGCTGCCCATTCATGAATCACACTCGCTACTAGCAAATCTGGACCGTATAATTCGAAAGCTTAACGGATCGAAGCCGTCCATTTATATGAAAGTTCAAGACCCACAAGCACACTTGGTCGTGGCGCATCGAGTCGTGATCTCTCTCACCGCTTTCTTGTCGCAGTAGAGCGAATTTCCACCTGGAAGCCCACCATTGCAGCACGCGCACTCGCAAATCCCATTGTAATTCCCTGTCGCGTCCTTTCGGCACGCGAATGGAAGATCCTTGCAGCGAGGGGGGCGAGTGTAAGCGCAATGGGCGATCTCACTCGCGAGCAAAGCAAACAACAAAACAAGCGCTACCCTCCCAAAACTTGCCATGGATCGCGATCGATCCTTTCCTGTAGTGCGTCGAGATAAGATCAAACGAGCCCAGTTCTTATAAGAACTCCCAGAAACATGAATCGTGGCACTAACGTGGCACCCTCTTTGACTATGGCGCTCTTTCTTTCTATCTCGAGATATATTCTAGTGTTTCTCGCAATGATAGTTTTTAGCTCTAGCAATGGATGTTACAGCGCTTCTAGCGTGTAGCTCTCGAGATTATCGTACACCTTGCTCAAGCTCTCGTCCGAAAGTTCCATCTCCTTTTGCGTCTCTGGGATCACTGGCGCTTGCTGCTTTTGCTTCATGAGAATGGTGACCAATCTTCGCACTGGCGGAATCTTCGCGCTCTTCTCCTCCATGGCACCGCTCGCAGCGGGATTTACTTGCTCGCCTTTGCTCGCTTCTCTCGTCGAGAACTGCTCCAGGTAGTTCCTCATCTCTCCGGAGCTGGAGAACGACCCGATTCCCTGGAAGAGATCCTCCCACGCGTTGATCCGACGCAAGCACTCCTTTCCATCCGGAGTCTGGACCTTCATTCGTTTCGTGTCCCTGCGGCCGATCCCTGCCTGCTGGTTGAACTCGCGAATCTCTAGCATGCTCTCCGACTCCGACTCCTTCTTCCGGAGCTTTGAGAAGCTCTTGGCGATGGCCTTTTGGAGCTTTTGTCTCTGGAGTTCGCTGTTCCTCGAGTCATGCCTGGCCAAGACTGCGGCCTGTAGCGAATCTTCCTGTCTTGTATCCGCTATGCCCTCCGTTACTGTGTCGTTCCTCTCGTCGAGTCCTACCACGCCTTCCAACAACGTAGAAGCTCGCATGTAACGATCGAAGGCCTCGTCTTCAAAGGAAAGATCTGCGTCTGCGTACGCTCTCATCTTGATCATTCTCCACGAGTTTATCATGAGCGCTTCCTAGAAGAAAACAACGTAAAAACTCGGTGGTCAAAGTGATACAAGCTTACCTTCTGTGCGTAGATGAAATTCTTTCGAGCTTTCTCCAGCCGCGCCTCTTTCTGATCTTCGGTTTCCACTGGAGGAGGCGCCGGCATCCGGACGATCGGAGACGTGTAAGGGACACGGTATCGCATCATCTGGTTCATGTAAGGAGATGAAACTTGTCCATTTGGAGGCCTCATGTATGGTGACATTCCCCTGAGCAAACCACCTTGAGTCCTTCTAGTTCTTTGGTTTCAGCAGACAAGAAATGAAACTTACATTCCAGGAGCCCACTGAAACTGCGCTGGACGAGGCTGTGGAACCTCCGGCGTAGGAGTCATTGGCCCTGTAGCTTGCTTAAATCCTGAGAGGAAGAGAAGAAGAAAAGATTTTTAAAAACATACTTCCCAAGTTCCCACCAAGAGAATTTTCAACTTACCGTGAGCTTGGCAGGGGTTCTTAGCCCTCACACAGCACGTCCCGCAAGCTCGGAAATCACATCTAGAAGAGAGAATCCCTGAGAAATCACCACACTGAGCTAGAGAAATTTTCGCATACTTGCCCATTGCCGTGTTGCCGCAGGTCACACACTTGGTCAGCTTCCTCTCCTGCTTGAAATTTTGGATCTGTGCAACGGCCGGCCGCGGCGTCGCCATCGCTGCTCCTCGGGCTCCCGGACTCGCCACGAAGACGAAAGAAGAATCGATTAGGGCAAAGAGCGCCCAAAGCGATCCTAGCCGTTAGGACCGAATTAAATCCTGGCCGTCCGTTTAAAAGCGCTCTGTCTCTTGGAGCCCTAGAATTTGATCGATTCGCGCGAGAAGAAGAAGAAGCAATGGCCGATTCCAGCAGCGACAGGACGGCGAGCAGCCGCAGTGTTCGTATCGCATCTCGGACGGCGTCGCTGCGATCGGCGTCCTCGGCAGGGTCGAAAAAGTCGCGATTCTATGGGCGGCGGAGCCTCAAATTCAGTCTCAGCGATGTCCCCAGCGTCGCCAGCCTCCGGATGTGGAGCTTCGGGCGGCCCGCCACCGCTGAGGCATCGGATGAGGCCAAGAATGTCCGGGATTGCTCCAGGAGCCTCCAGAAGCGAAAGACTCACATCATCGTCAAGGTTCGTGAAACTTTACTTTTCCTTCTTTGCTGGTTTTTATTTCTATGTTCAGGCTGTGCTACTGTAAATTTGGTCTCGGCTAGAAAGGGTGTCACTCCATTCCCACGAACAGGAGTTCTTGTCAAAAGTTCCAAAGCTATCTAGGCAGCAAAGTTTTCATCCAGAGGGTTTGCAGATAGTGTGTGCCTGATTCTATGATGTCTAGATTTCGTTGGATTGGACATTCACTATCTGCAAACACCTCTGATGGAATTCGTGAGTTTCATCAAGGTCCAGTCACTGGAGAGGACTAACGAGTGAGTTTGTTTACTAGACATGCTTCCCGACGCGTTTCAGGCCAATGAAAGGTAGTAGTGAGCGATCTGATTTGAAAATCGAATTCTAAAGGAAATGCTTTGAACAGAGAAGGAATATGAGCTGAAAGTGAAGCAGAAGAGAGCTGAGAAAATACTGGAGAAAGAGAGGTTGGAAAATTATAAGAAGAAGGACAGGTTTAAGTCGTTTGCAGCGCAACGGGCATCAGTTCGCAGGTAAGCATCTAAAGTTCTTTTAGTTCTGGGAGGTGATGGATTATGTTTGGTGGTTTTCTCGCTTAGATTCTTGAACGACACAGGATTTCGCCAGTCGATCACAGGAACTTTCCTTGACAACTCCGATGCTTTTCGTCGGAAGAGAGATGTACGCCAATTGATGTCTATGTCAAGTTTTTCATTGTTCCTTTTCAGGAAATGGAGGAGGCAGAGCCTGAGCCTCCAAGCGAGGAGGAAGTTGCGGAGGAGAAAAAGGTAAGACGATAAAAGTGTCACTTTTGTTGATTGAGATGGAGGCTGTTCTCGAAGATAGACGAAGACAATGCGTGGATTGTGAAAACTTTGGAAGATCACGACACGAGGGAGGATCTCGAGCAGCGAGTCATCCAGCATATAATGCAAGATCCCATCATCTTTAGATCTCTTCGGAACACTTTACGGATCGCTGAAGGAAACCGGCTAAGGCATCGCAAGGTAACCATTGATTTGAAAAAGCTTTGAAGCTCTAAAATCATCTCTGCGGCCCTGGCAGTCTCTAAAGAAAGAGTTTTACGACATGGAGAAAGTTTGGTCGACAGCAGATCTTATGAAGGAAACCGAGAACGCTTTAGTTCATTCGGACATGAGGCATAGAATTTACCAGCTCTACTGTGAACTCCGGGTAAAAAGTTCCATCTTTTCAACAATCTCTCATACAAGTGTTCTTCTCAGGCTGCTCAATCGAACAAAGTTCCAAGATTTTCATCAGCGTCGAGGGATCCAACTCCCACAAGTTTGTGCTACTGGGAATCCAATGAAAGGTGAGATAGATCTAAACAACCTGGAATTTTCTAGCATAGGAAGGTTCTGATCTTTCCGCGTTCTTCAGATATAAAATGGAGTGCTCGCTTGAGAAAGAACTACTGTCAGATCTCACAGTAAATCGATTGCGCAGTAAAGAGAGTTAAATGCTAGAGTTCATACAAAGGGTTCAGATTTTAGGGCTAGCTAGGGTTTGTAGATGGGCATGGAAGTAGCGGAGAGTGGATTCGCAGCTGCCTCGCACGAATCCTCGGCGACGGCAAATGGCACGGCGACGACGGCGAATGGAACTGTAAGATTCTCAATCTCCAGTCGCAAGCGGCAGCGAGTGATCGGCACCGGCAACTCGTCCGATCGCGAGCACGAGGCCGTGGAATTCGTGCGGTCGGTGGACGAGATTGGGATCCAGGTAGTCGGCGAGCCGAGCTCCAGCGGCGCGGCCATGGTGATCCCGCGCCTGGAGAACTCGTGGAAGCCGGAGAAACGGATGAAGAATCTCATGAGCGCGCCGGAGGACAGCGTCCAGGAATTCGTGGGGGAAGTTCTTCCCGCCGGCCCCGTTGAGGGCGTCCAGTATGGATTGTCGGTAAGATCGTCCAAAGCAGGAGGAGGAGGGAGCGTCAAGATGGATATTATGGAAGCTCGCGAGCTCCGCGCGAAGCTGGACAAGGAAGCGCTGGTGGATCACCTGGAATTCCTCCCCGAGTCGGCGTCTCTGGCGGCCTACGATGCGATGCCGGTGGAGAAATTTGGGCAGGCGCTGCTGCTGGGGATGGGCTGGAGAGATGGGCGAGGGATTGGGCGGAGAGCCACCGAGGACGTCAAGGCCACCGAGTTTGTGAGGAGGCCCGAGCGGCTGGGACTCGGGGCAGTGCCAGCTCCAAAGGAGGAGAAGAAGAAGAAGGTCATCAAGCCGGGCGAGAGCCGGGAGGCCAAGCCAGATCTAGTAGCTCCGGTTGGGCCGGATGGGAAGGTTCGTCACAGGGTTGAGATTGGCGAGAAGCTCGTCGAGAGGGCCAAGAGGGGAGTTTACGGTGGCAAAGTCATGACCATCGTCTCGGGGAGGCACGCTGGGCTGAGGGGCGAGGTTCTGGGTCGCAAGGACAAGGTGGCGAATCCGGGAGAGGTGGTGGGGGTGAAGCTGGCTGGTAGCGGCGAGACGGTGGAGGTGGATGCCAAGAACTTGGCGGACGTTGGCTCCGTCGAGGAGGAGAACGCGATGAAGAGGCTCAAGGAGCTGAGGATCCAGAGGGGCGATGGTGGTGGTGACGACGAGAGAGCGAGGCCCTGGCTGAGGAGCCAAATACGAGTGAGGGTCGTTAGCAAGCGGTTTCAAGGCGGGAGGCTCTACCTCAAGAAGGGGCGCGTGATCGACGTGGTGGCTCCGACGGTGTGCCATATTGTCTTGGACGAGAGCGGTGATCTTGTGGAGGAGGTGAAGCAGGAGTACTTGGAGACCGCGATTCCAAAGCCGGGCGGGCGTGTGATCGTCGTTGGAGGGAAGCTGAGGGGATCCATTGGGAAGCTGCTGGAGCGGGACAGTAAGAAACAGGTTGCGGTGGTCCAGATGGAGGAGAGCTTTGAGATGGCCACTCTCGACTTGGACCACCTTGCGGAGTTTACTGGCGATGGCGCTTGATCTCTACTGAGAACTGGTAAGAAAGAAAAGCAGCAAAGAGAAAGAGAAATACTTCATACGCTTACTAACTGCGTTGTGCTTGATCAGATGTTTCGCTCTTGGACTAGAAACCGTCATTTCTTTGGCCACTGGGGGCACACTATCTGCGCAAAATCGAGCCGGTTTGATTGCCAGTGGTGAGCTAAAGATTTATCATACCTCTAAGGTTGTGAAAGCTAATCGCATCCGATCGGCCACTAGCGATGCTTCCTCGGCTCGTCCTAACACCGCCATTTGTTCCAGCTGCAGTGTTTTCACTGGTAGCCTAGAGAAGAGAATAGAAGAGAAGAGATGAGAGATTGAAGTTATGGAGTTTATTTACCAGGCCATTCCCCGGTTGTAGTACGCGTTGGCGATAATGGAACAAAATCCTTTCCATTCTAAAAGAGACTCGGCTGTGACTGCCGAAGTTGTGGACCATCGTATCACTGTGGGTGGCGGGCTTGACATGATCGATGTAAAGACGATGATCACCCAAAGTATACATTCTTCTACCTGGGAAAAGATTTGAGGAACACAAGAAATATGTGAAGAACAATGGCGAGAACTTGTTCTACCTCTTTGGAAGTGATATTGGAATTCAAGAGCTCTTTTCTCAGGCCCTCTTCCGTGCAGCCGATCGCGTAAGCGGTCACTACAGCAGTTATGAAATCCTGCGCATAGGATAGTCCTGATCGATTGATTGATCGTGCTTTTGATCTTCTCGTTCTTTACCTGGAGATTGTTGCTGAATCCTCCTTGCACGACTTTCTTGTAGCGCTGGTGGAGTCCCAACGCAATGCTTGCCGTGGAGCGAAATTCATCGTCGTAGGCTCTTTGCGACCGCTGCCGAGAAGCAATCACGAAATATGGATGAGATTAGCGGAGAAAATCTTCGTACCGAGACGATCAAGCCTCGCAAGTCGTGCTGGCGGAGCGTCGAGAAGAGCCGGCTGTTGACGAGGAACGCGGCGGGGATCTTCCGCCTAGGGCAATTCTCCTGGAGCATCGACCATCGCGCGGCGCTCGCGAATTGGAGGCGGCCGCAGCATTGAAGAGCGGCGATTTGCATATCTTCTCCTCAGCAAGAATTTCTCTACCATTCCACACCTCGAAGTCCATTTTAAATTGGTGTCCATGTTTATCCGTACGCAGCTAGGGTGGCCACTGGCCCATTCGTACATGGCGCCAAAATGTTGGCGGGCGCTAGCTTTAGCAGCACAATCTCAGCTCTTCGAAAGTGCCCTAGTAGCGCTCGCCCTTCTCTCTCTCTCTCTCTCTCTCTCTCTCTCTCTCTCTCTCGATCTCTGGATTGATTTGTAGCGCCCGTCTAGCTATCGATCCACAGCTGCTTGGGCGCTTCTTGATGGGATTTTGATTCGTCTGGGCGATTTCGATGGACAACTATGTGAAGCTGGAGAAGGTCGGCGAGGGCACCTACGGCAAGGTCTACAAGGCTCGCGACAAGAACACCGGGCGATTGGTGGCGCTCAAGAAGACCCGCCTGGATATGCAAGACGAGGGCGTCCCTTCCACCGCATTGCGCGAAGTGGCGCTTCTCCATATGCTCTCTCAGAGCCTGTACGTTGTGAGGTATGATTTTTTCGCTGGAATCTTGCAAATTTGTGTTCTTTCTTCTTTTTTTCTTGCTACCAGGCTCTTGAGTGTAGAGCACATAGACAAGGGTGGCAAGCCTTTGCTATATCTCGTGTTTGAGTACCTGGACACCGATCTTAAGAAGTACATGGACTTTACCAATCGGCGCAAGCCTTTCGGCATGGACCACTTCAGAACAATCAAGGTAGATTTTTTCTCTTGGTTTTTATCTCTCGATTGATCGAGTTTGCTTCCCAGCATTTGATGTACCAGTTGTGCAAAGGCGTCTCGCATTGTCACAGCCATGGTGTCATGCACAGGTTAGCGTAAAGTTTCTGTCTATCTCGTTGTTGATCCTTGCATTTTCCAGGGACCTTAAGCCGCAGAATTTGCTCGTGGACCAAGATAAAGGTCTTCTCAAGATCGCAGATCTTGGGCTTGGACGAGCTTTCACCGTTCCACTCAAGAGCTACACACACGAGGTTTGCTCACGCATAGTTATCTCTTCTTTTTTTTCCCTGCTTACACTCTCTTCTTTAGATTGTTACGCTCTGGTACAGAGCTCCGGAGATACTTCTCGGAGCTTCACACTACTCCGTCCCCGTGGACATGTGGTCCGTCGGGTGTATATTTGGTGAGTCGAGGCTCGTGGAATTTTCTGATAGCTAGAACTTACTTTGACTTTTGTCCAGGCGAGCTAGCAAAGCGATCCCCTCTTTTCCCAGGCGACTCGGAGCTACAACAATTGCTCCACATATTCCGGTAAAACTCTCCCGAAACTGTGATTACTTGCTCACTCGCCTCTGCAAAAAAGATTGCTGGGAACTCCAAGCGAAGAGGTGTGGCCGGGAGTCACAAAACTCCGGGACTGGCACGAGTATCCCAAGTGGAGCCCTCAAAAGTTGGAGCTCGTCATTCCAGGCCTTGATCAGCAAGGCCTCGACTTACTCCAGGTAAGGAAGATTTGAGATTGTGGATCCATGGTTCCAAGTGTTAATTCTTTCGTCACAGCAAATGCTCATCTATGATCCAGCAAAGAGAATTTCTGCCAAGGCTGCGCTACAACACTCGTATTTCGACGACGTTGACGAATCCCAGTTTTGATCGCTAGGAGGGAAAACACTCTTAAATGTTTATGGATGGATAGAAAGGAAATAAAGGTTAAAAGGGGGTTTTCCAAAACTTTCTAGGGTTTGATGGACGGGGAGCTGTTGATCGTGCCCGGGACGAGCATGCCGCAGATGATCCAGCCGCCGCCGGCGCTGGACGGCGGCGACGATCATCCCAAGCGCAAGCCAGCTAAGAAGTGGTTCAAGGAGTGGTACGCATTCTTGTTGTTGATCCTTGTCTCTCCAATTCTCCAGCGTTTGTGAGCTCCCAATCTCGTCTTCTTGGTGCTCCAGGGTCCCGCAAGACACTGTGCTGAGCACTGGGAAGTGCCGGCTGCTCAAATGGATCAATGGTGAGCGAATTCTCTCCAGATTTTCCTCGTAACTCCTCCTTGCTCGTCTTTGTTTCGTGTTTTGACGATTGATGGTTGGTTTTCTTTCCAGATGATACGATGAATCTCATGAAAACGAAGCATCTGGACCAGGACGCCGACTTGGACTACGAGATCGTCTACGTTTGCACATTCGAGAACTGCGGCAAAGTTTTTACCGAGGCTCCGGCACTGCGGAAGCACGCTCATGTTCATGGAGAGAAGCAATTCATCTGTCACTACGATGGTTGTGGCAAGGTACGTTCTCGCTCAACAATCTAATGCTCTTCTAGAAAATGCTTCTTTTTTCTTCGTCCTGCGTGTCCACAGAGATTCGTGGACAGCTCCAAGCTGAAGAGACACTTCCTTATACACACCGGTGAGAAGCATTTTCTCTGCAAGTTTTGTGGCAAGGTAAAAGCTCGCTTGCAAACTGATTCTACTGTTTCTTCTCCCCTCGACACTTCTTCCAGGCATTCTCTCTCGACTTCAACCTGCGATCACACATGCGTACGCACACCGGCGAGAACTACCATACGTGTCCATACGAAGACTGCGGCAAGCGCTACGCACACGAGTACAAACTCCGTGGTCACTTGAAGACTCACCATGACAAGGTAGAGTTTTTCATCTCTATGGACTCTAACGCGCTCTCTTTTTCTTTCTCGCAGCTCTTGCCGGATGGGAAACAAGTGCCACTCACGCTAGAGTCGGACACTTCAAAGACTTCTCCGGCAGCAACAGCAGCAGCAGCAGCAGCAGCAGCAGCAACCGGCGGTGGTCGACCATTCGCGTGCCCTTACAAAGGTTGTGACAAGCGCTACTTCTACGAGTACAAGCTCAACCTCCATCTCAAGAGGGGGCATGTCAAGGAGGAGATGGTGGAGCACAACGGCAGCGACGAGTTTAGCGATGGCAGCGATCCGGAGCATTTGGTCCGGGGGCCCGGGAAGGGAAAGATGAGGCTGGGAGGAGGAGGAGGAGGAGGAAATTCAAGGCCGGCATCCACAGCGGCGCCGCGAGCCAAGAGAAAGAAGACGGTGGCAGCGGGAGGAGGAGGAGGAACGTCGAGCGGCATGACGAGGATACAAGAGGCGGCGGTGGTGGAGACGAACTTGGTGGGGAGGAAAGTGATAATCAAGCACGAGATCCAGGAAGATAGCGAGGAGACCGAAGACGAGGGGCGGGATGATCTGATGGACGATGCAGGGGGGAACGATGAAGTGTTTGAAGATGATGAAGAAACTGAGGACGATGTGGACTAGTTACTTTGGTCTGTGTGTTTTACTTGTACAAAATGCGTAAACAAAGTAAGGTGATTAAAAGAAAATGAAGAAAATCAAGATGGGATTCGAACCTGCACGGGCAAGCCCACATGATTTCTAGTCATGTCCACCTTGGCGAAGGTCAAGAAGAATGAAGAGTTCAACTCTTGTAAATATTATTGCATTTTGAAAAGCAAATTATTTTCTATTCAATAAGACAATTCTAGCTTAAGCAGCCAATATGTTTAGAATAATCTAATGTCCACCAGGCTCTGCTTGGATATGTTGTCAAGTAGCTTACCAGTTTACAGTTATCTTCAATTGTAATATAAGTTAAAAGTAAACAGTTTGGTTTGTCATAACAATACATATTCGGAGACCATAATACATTTCGTTTAGAAGTATATAACACTAAATTTCCATCATTTTGCAAATCTAAAAAACACTCTCCAAAATATTCATTATTTGGAGATTCCCATAAATTAGTTTTTCCAGAAAAAAGTGCAAGTTTACAATTCATTTTGATATATAGTATATTCATACGATTTGGGGATTGTAAAAATTTACCTTTATATAAAATATGATCAGAGAAACCAGCATTTAAAGTAGTCAAAGTAATATCACAATTTTCAAAATATCTGAAAACTATATTTATATTTTCTAAATAATTTAGTGGTTTCCAACGAGTTACTAATATATATCGAATAAGATAATTATTAGACACAATTCTACATTCACTAGAAAGTGCTTGTAATAAATCATTTATTACCTTTTTAATTATTTCATTTATTGATTTTTGGAGAGAACCACCTAAAACTGGTTTTCCAGTTGAAATTCCTGTAGAACAATATAGAGTACTTCCAGCTAAACGTTGAATTCTTATAACAACACCTCCTCCATCAATATCTATTAAATCGGTATCAATATAATTTTGTGGATAAAGATGAGATTCATGTAATTTTAGTGCAAGTCTTTTAATGTGACCTAAAATTGTATTAATATCTTCCTCAGTAAGTGAATTATTTTTACCCCATTCTATATCTATTTTACCAAATACAATTCCATAATATATAATTAAAATAAAAAGAACTAAAATTATAGACATTAAAAATGAATTTCAAATAAAATTTAGAGTTATTTTTATATATAAGGAAAATAAAACAAAAATTAAATTTTTTAATTATGATATAACTTTGTGATTGTCACAACTTAGAAGCCACTAGCTGTATGAGAGATTCGTTTATCTTTATATATATTAATATGATATAGCCTAGACTTGAGTAATATTATTTTTTATTTTTTATTTTTTTTAAAATATATAAACTTTTACCAATGTATTACCACATGGCACCATTCTTATAAGCTTGGGTTTAGATGGCATGGTCAATCCATTTCTCTAAAAACCAAAATGTTGTTCAACAGTCATCAGGAACATTTATCAGATGTCCTCTATTTCTTTAACTACAGCTCTAACTCTACAATATTTTTCCACTCCAAGATTGCCACTTGTGCAAGGAGTGCTTCCAAGTTGATGCAACAAACAGTCCAAGCCACACAGTCGTGCCACCATCCTTTGTGGAATTCATAATCGAAGTGGATAAAGTCAATCATCAGTGCTTTGTCTATGGTTACTTTCTGGGTGGTAAAGATAAATTGCATGGTTTCATTCCATGCTTGCGCTTTCACCAGTAATAGCCCTGTCTCAATACAGAGAATTCCTTTGTGCATTCAGTTTTGAAGGCAATGTAAGTGTGTTCATTTTATATATTTTCTGAAAAAAACGTAGAATAAAAACAATGTAAATTTCATTTGACATTGTGATGTCTAAGTGCGTACGAAGTACGAAGTTGCGATGCTTACTGGGATTTATCCCACTCCGTGTTTTGCAGGCACGCCGGATCGAGATGGTCGGGCCCCAGCCTGACGCAGTTGATGTAATTCACCAAGCTGTGCCCGGCGATCCCAGGCACGAGCAAGCCTGCAATCCTTGCCACAGTGGACAACCTCGTCTCGCTAAACTCCCCGCCATATCTATAGCTCATGAAGAAGCTCTGGACGAGCTCGAACAGCGCGTAAAGCCGGGACAGCACCATGTAAACCGGGGAGAAGAAATTGGGAAATGGCTCGTCCGGAAGGATCTGCGTAGAAAGTTAATATGGATCCTACACAGAGAGCGGTGTCTTGAAGTAAAGTACCTGGAGGGTGTAGTTGTAAGTGAAGTAGCAGCAATTCCCGAAATGCTTGAAGCCAAACAAAGAGTTGTCGAAGGGAACTCGAGCTACCATGTCGTTATTGTAGACAACTCTAAAGTACCTCATGGTTGGCTTGTTTAAGCTGGTGTCCATGAAGGACGCAAAGCTCTTGTCTCCAACGCGGGGCTGGCCAAACGTATAGAGCGCCGCGAGCCTCCTGGCAACGTCGTCCTCGGTGTTGTAAAAGACTCGATTCTCTTCCCGGTTGTAGAAGAGCATGGCGGTGAAGAGCGTTGCCAGAGCGCCGCCGAGGCTGTGACCGGTGATGTAGAGCTTTGCGTTTCTGTGGTTCCGGAGGATGGTGACGAGCTCCGCACTGATGTGGTCGTACGCGAGCAGCTTCGTCTCATCGCTGAGGACAAAGTCGGGTAATCCAGATGTTGGAGTCTGTGGCAACGGAGTCCTCGAGTTCTCGTAGATGTTCTGCTTCAACCTCTGGAAGCTTTGCATCCTGTTCCTGTCGCCCAGCCCCAGTGCTTCGAGGAATCCGAGATGGACACGGCCGAGCTGCGGGAGCTCGTACCAGGAGAAATCCAAGTCTGTGCACCAGTCGTATGCATTGAAGGCTTCCGTTCCCCGGAAGGCAAGAACGATGGCTCCGGCATCAGTTTCCCGGTCCGCAAAGATGAATGCTTGAGTCGAGTTGTTTTTCTGAAACTCTGTAGCATGAAAGGGTGAGGGCAACGTCAGATGAAACTGGATAGCGACCTCTTACCGTTCCAACAGTTGTAAGTTCCTAGTAGATGCATCTGCAAAGGAGAAGCTGATGGAGTCAGAGGTTGTGCAAGGCTTGGACTTACCTTCCAATTCTGATTCACGACAAATTCGATGAACTTCGGGTTCTCATACGCAACCTTAGACGCCATAGCACAAACATCTGCTACCGCTTTGGAGTCTGGACATGAAAGACACAGACGCTGAGACGAAGGGGCTTGGAGGAGGCTGATTCTTGGTTCCATGTGGCCGTTGAAAGTTAGGTAGCTCTCCGAATCCTCGGAAGGATCAACAAGCGCTGGAAGAACAGCACACAATCAAAAGTCAACACCGTGAAATCAATTCTAGTTACCTTGTGGATCCATCGAAATAGTATACAAGGTCCTGAGAATTCCTCCATTGGATGCACAAAGGTTAATTGCCTTCTCCACCCATCTTCCAAAGTGCTTCAGCGGTTGAGAGACAGACCTCATGCTCCAGAGCATAAACAGAGAAAATCTCGCCCTCCAATCCAAGTTCACACTCCCGACGTCCAAAGAATGCGAGATGTGAGGCCACAGGTACGACCACACGCTCGTATAGTGTGCTACGAGATAGCATCGATCATCTGCGACACGAGTGCCCATACTGGAAAAAGCCTCACAATGTCGAAGTTCAAGAGCGAAGAGAAGAATAAGAGGATAGCTTTAAAACATGAAATTCCGACTTACCACAACTCCTTATCAACAGAGGATTTTATAGAGTGATAAGTCTTCTGGAAACAACTCGGCAACCGCGGAAACTTCAATCCCGCACGTATCCTCCTGCAAGTTTTTGCAAAAACACGAGGTTAGCGCCCACACTGTGTACTTTGCCTGCTAGCCTTCCACGCCGATCTCAACGTCCTGGCCGTCGTCTAGTTGCTTCTCCCGATTCCGGACGCTGATCTTTCGGAACTTTCGCTGCCACCTCTGTTGTTGCGTTTGAATTCCTGAGTCACGACTCGGCCTTCCCTGTGTTGATACACCTGCTTTCCCGGACATGTCCTCATTTTCGCGCCTCCGTGATAAACATCCGGAAGATTCGGACCACTTCCTTGTGCAACGAGGATATAGAAAGGACAGCAGAAGCAACTACGCCACAAGTTCTTGCTCTTCTACAAGAACAAGATCAAACAACAGCTAGGGGCTTCTTCAATGTGGATGCAGAGAGCAGCAGTCAGTAAATCAGATCTCTCAAAGTAAACTCCCAAGTACGTTTTTTCCTTTGAAGAACTTTGATTAATTTGGCAGGAACCACCTCCATTTTTTAGCATGACACCTTCAAAAAGACACAAGGTCGGCCAGGATTTTTTTCGCCCGGAAGACTCGCACTTCTTCTGGCCTTTTCACCGATGTAGTTTTGGAGGCAGTCAGTGCTCTGATTCTCTTCTCAACGTTAACCAGGATGATATGAAGGTCGGCCATATCGCTTTCAGATGGTAGTTCGTGTGGCACGGGATCGTGGCAAGCAACTCTGAAAAAATATCACACAAGAAAAGAAAAGGAGAAAAGGTTCAGCTTCCAGCCATCTTCTACGATGGAAATAAAAGCAAGGCACTCACCGCTCGGTTGGATTCGCTTTTAGGCTTATTGTTTTTCGACAGCTGAAGTTTCCGGTAAGTTGAAAACGGAGCGCGTAATCGAACCGAGCATCTTCGCAGGAGACGAGCGGAATCAAACTTAACAGTTTGTCTTTAACCGCATCGGGACGAGGCGTCCCAGACCTCTTCCTCTTCCAGATTCTGCAAACAAAGCCGACATGAGGGCACATACAACTATGGAATCTCTTACCAAAAGTTTTTGTCCAATTGAGTTCAGTGATTTTGGAGTCATCTGGTCGATGTAAAGGACACCCTGTGCGAACAAATACCATGGCCACCTTGATGTTTGCACAGAAAAAAAACAAAGGAGACATTACCTCCATGTCGGAAAATTCGAGCAGTCCAGCCCCTGAAGGCGGTACCAAATTTCTTCCCGTTGATGTCTTGAGCTTTCAACTCGGATCGATATCGGTCTCTGGAAACAAAGACGCATGCTATAAAAGAGAATCTCTATGTACAAAGGAATAGTACCTAGACATCGGCTTGAGCGCCGTAAAAAGGTAGGCATCCTTCTAGAGTATCAGCTTCTCGCTCTTTCCCAAACTTGACGATCAAAACGTACCCTTTGCCTTTGCCTCTTTCGCCCTCGGGATTAAAGACCATGAGCCTGGCATTGATGCATACTTGTGGAGCGGACAAGCCTACTCCATCTCTCCTGGCAAAAACGAAAAGAAAGATAAGGATGCCAACGTTGGACAGTGATGAAATTCGCAAGGAACATGCCTGTAAGTCACGTCATTATCATCGAAGGAATTGATGCGGATGTTCCTTGCGCGGAGCTTGGGATCGGGATACAAGACAATGCTGAGATTGGAATTGAATTCCACAGGGCCAGCTGCGAGGAAACAAGAAAATCAGGAGGCAAGAACCCTATACCACGCAATTTCACCATCGGCTTCCGCTCTCTGTGAACAGTCGTGTAGCTGCCGTTATCACTTGAAATCCTCGCTGCTGCTGCTATTGCCGGAATGTGCCCGCATTCAATCTCGATCGTGCTTCCAGGAATCCATTCCGAGCATTCGATGGCGCCACGGATTTCCGCCACGCGACGGCATCACCGCCAGTTGCCGCCATTACCCAAATCACCAGAAATTAGGGTTCTTGCAAGGTTTTATATTGGCTGCTTGTATGGTAAAATTTGCCAAGACAAAGCGCGGCTCTAAGATAGTCAAAGGCATTCTAATTGAGTTGACTTATACAAATGTGCTATAGAATTTATCTATATTTCAAAACCGAACACTTCGATTTCAAGATATAGGTTTGTGAATTACTTGGATTTCAATATCAACAGAATATTACTGTATCTTGACATTAGCAGAAGAGAATGTTTGAAAGAACTGATTGATAAGTATTTGAATGTGATTTCAGGTAAACAATTATGTGATACACTTCCCCCTAGTAAACTGACAAGGAAAAAATTAATAATTTGCACACTTTATAAAAACTTAAATGAGTGGGTGGATAGCCACGCTTCTCTCCAAAACTTCCAGCTTGGAAAGTCCGGAAGCCTATTCTCCAGTTGCTACTCAAGCAAGTAGCAAGCATTGGAGCATCGGCCACTTCAATATGGTTCTCCAATTCAGGTAGGACCTCTAGCACTACCTGTCTCTTCTGCTCTCCACATATCCTGAGCACAGTCCAAAAGAGCCCCGGAATTTCATCTTGTCGAACACTTTTATATTCCCCTCCATTAGGAAACAAAACTCATGAAAGATCACGGTAAAAAAGTTAAAATCAAGCATCAGATGCCATACGATAGGTTTGCTGCCGTGGAGATGTCAGGCTCTTCATTGCGTCAACAAGCTACTCGTGATGTGGCCTACTCGTGATTGCAAAGAAGAGATGCAGGTCGCACCGATACTGGACAGGATGCTACGGAACCTTGGCCGCTTTACAAGGCCCCGTGAACTTGAAAAGGAGCCCCCGTCATCGCCATCTGACAAAAAAGCGGACTTTGTGCTCCAGTATGAGGTTGACAAGGAAGACAGGAGACCCAGGTAGACGCGGAAAACCTTCCCAACTCTGAGAGTCTTTGGACTCTTCAACAGATGACCTGCTGATAAAACCTCAGTCTGCGAGCAATTCTTCTCCGAGGCACTATTCAGATGTACGTGTACACTAAACGCTACACGCTTCGTGGCCTGCGGCTCAAGGTGACGTTGGATTTCAAAAGCAACGCTCTCAGCCTGCTATGTACGCCATATAGGAACTCCTGGAGACAGCAGCGCGTCCGAAGAGCTACAGACCGCCAGTTACCATCATGGTAAGAATAGTTAGTCACTTGGATCATGAGCGCTGACATATCGTCTTCTAGGCCGGTGACAAGGATGACTGGTATTACGGAATCCTGGAAATAGATGGTTTCGTTTGGGTGGAGAACCATCAGGTTGATCAGGCCAGCTTGCAAGGTAAATGACTGCAAAAACGGCTGCCCGTCTAGCTATTTGTGGTCGTGTGCGCAGAGTTCCCGGAAGAAAAGATGGAGGTGAATCCGAAGAAATTCACTCCAAGCTTCACCCGCACCGAATTACAGAACAACTTCGAAACGTGGAAGAAGGACTTCGCTAAGATCAAGATGAGAATCCCCAATGGTCTTCACCCGGTTGGCCGCTTCTTCATCAAGCGCTTTGGTATTGACAGACTTGCAGGACGGTACAAGGGTATATAACAAGATGCCTACCCTTGGCGGTGAAGCGGAGCTTGCCAGGGGGGCAAAAGAGGTTCTACGATGGCATGCTCAAGACTCTTGTTGGTCGTCAAGTCACCAACTGGAGTCCCCAGGATGCGCTCCATGCGTGGAACGCACGCAAGTGCCTCCTAGAGATGACTTAGGTGCTCAGCCAACGATAAACACTTGAGAAATGTCGGTGTTTTCAGGTTTTCCAATTTTTGATAGCTGTGCTGGAAGTATATGTAAAGATCTTTTTGCGATCTCTTGAAACTATACCTCGATCTTCTCTCTACTCCCACGCTGCACTGCCGATCCCTTTGGTCACTACTCAAGAGGATTGAGTGTAGCCACTACAATGCCACCTGTTTGCTTGTCCATTGACAATCCAGGAAATGCCAAACTTGGCTGCCATGGTTTGCAAAACGAGCGATTGCTCCTTCCACAGGCCTGCACTGCAATAGAGCTTGACCATGAGCATGTCACAAGCCAAGTCACTGGAGCCACTGTCCAGACTCCACGAAGCGATCAAACACACCTTTATCCTTTTGGTAATAATTTTAGCATTATGTATAAATTTTCATTTTCATACATAAGATAGTGTATAGTTTTTCAAATAAATTATTTTTCACTGAAACATTGTTATCAAAATAGTTTTCTAGAGTTTATATGCTATATAATTATTCATATAGATTATAGTTTGATCAAATTATTCATGTCATATAATCTACCCAGTTTATTATAAGCCTATATTATCCAATATCAAACTGCAATGTCTTTAACTCATCCATCCTTGAAAGTGTTTACTTGCCAATGTAAGTAAACAAAAAACTCAATATTATTCACTAAGAATTGCAAGATGGATCTTTCAAGTATGAATTTTTTGGAACATCTATAATAATAAGAACAAAGAACCCACACCCCCGCAGCCATCCGATCCCAGGCCCGGGGCAGCCTCAGAAGCCATGGTCCTCGGGAAGGGGAGGCCAGCCCAGGCTCGAGCCAGGGCCTATGGCCATGGTTAGCAGGAATATCGGCTCAATGTTGTGGCGGCCAATGGGTAGGATGCACGCGTGGCCGGGAAGGGAAGAGGGCGTGGTGACAGGTGTTACACCATGCACTCCTAGGGCTCCAAAAAATTCGTCTGCCACTCATCAATTCGATTGCCAATGGCCCATGGCCGATGTAATTAGAGCAGCAGTGCCATCTCCAGCACTCCAGGTTCCTTTCAAGAGTTTTTTACTTCTTATCCTTGGTTCTTCGATCGTTCTTCCTTTTTGATTCGTTTTTGCGACTGATGGATTGGTTTCTCTCGCAGGCAGTAGCTGTTCTAGGCTACGCTTCTCTTTTTTTTTTTTGCATTTCAGCCTTTGATGCCATGGGCAGCCGGTAAGATTTTGTATTCTATGATGAGATTGTTTTTTTATCCGATACTGCTTCTGTTGAATCTAAAATTTAGTTCCAGTTTCCGAGAGTTTGAGGGCCGGTTTCAACGATGCTGTGCCAGGTAACCTGATGCTGGCGTAGGAGCAGCACTTGGGGCTGCAGCTCAAAATTGCAAAGCTGTGGATTATGAGGCAGAGATTGGTAAACAAAACATTGGAGTTATTTTGTTGTTCTTGAGTGTGCTTTGCAAAAGTCTAATATTTTCCTTTCAGATCATTACATAGTTGTGAAATTTATATATAGTCTGCATTTCTATTCTGCATAAATCTATATATATATATATATATATATATATATATATATATATATATATATATATATATATATAAAATCAAACCTATAATTGAAGTGACTGAAAATGCCTTGCCTCTGCCATCTTTTGAGAACCATACGACATAGTAAACAATCTAATGGAGATTTAGATGCCTCTGAAACTATGATTGATCATGATACACATACTATAACTGTTCAAAATAATCATGATAATGATTCTATACACCAAAATTAATCATGATAATGATTATATACAGCAATCAGTTGGACACTCAGAAGCATTTGGAACCTTACATGCATGTCATTATGACAATTACATATATCAAGAAATATTAAATCCACCACTCCCACCCATGAATACCACACTAGCAAGCCATAGCATTTATAATGACTTTAACATAATAAATTTTAATATTGGTAGTTTATCATTTGTTTGTACTTTTTGTAATGCATTGCATTTTAAAGATGAAAACTCTTCAATATGTTGCCAGAATAACCAAGTTATATTACCTTCAATTTCACCTTTACCATTTGATTTACTTTCACTTTACAAGCAAAATAAGAACTCTAATTTTAAAATAAATATTAGACACTATAATAGTACTAAATTCTATCACACCTTCTGGTCTCCCACCACATAAACTCTCTCTCAAACAAGGAGCTATTCTTATCCTCCTAAGAAATATGTCTCCATCAGTAGGACTATGCAACGGCACATGTTTCATCCTGAAAAATGCACTACCAAATGTTTTAGATTGTGAAATTGTGATGGGGCAATTTAAAGGGACAAGAGTTTTTATCCCACGTATCACACTAATACCATCAAATACAAAAATTCCATTCAAAATGTCCAAACGACAATTTCCAATTCGTTTGGGTTACTGTTTAACAATCTCCAAATGCCAAAGACAGACATTTGACCGAGTTGGAGTTTACTTGCACCACCCAGTTTTCACTCATGGGCAACTTTATGAGGCTTTATCAAGATGCATATCACCACATGGACTTGGAATTAAAGTTCAAAACACCACACACCAAGGCCACCTCCTTCCTCAAGATCCTTCTGTTTTTACAATTAACACTATCTATAAAGAGGTTATATATTAAACCTCTTTGTAAACCACCCAGCATTTGCTAGGTAAGTACTCGTTATCAATGCTCTCCAACAATTTGATCTATATAGTTTGCATTAATGTAACCTCCACAATATGGGCAAGCCTTCCTTAAAGTCCTATTATGTCCTCAACTAAAATTTATATTGCTGTTGTTGGAAAATACTTCTGGAAATTGATGTGAAACCATATCTAAAATTATATAAAAACACCACCAAAAAGTGTTATAGTGAGGGAGAATATAAACTTCCCTCAGCAAACTCCCAATAGGAAGATTATATATATGATCAGAATGCATAAAATCAAGAGTTAAAATATGCCATCTAGTGTATTTATCTACCTCTAGCCTACCTCTAAAAATGTGATATTTAAGAAACAAAAACAGAAACAAAGTGCCTTAAACATTGTAATTAGAATTCTTATACTACTTTGCTATTAAATAAGTCTCATTAATATAAATTTTCTGATAAGTAAAATTATAATAACTTGCTGCATGTTGCATGCAGCAACATTTGGTTTGCTTAATAGTATTTCTTATTATTTAATAATATAATTGATTAACTGGAAGTTAATAAAGACTAATCTTATTACATATCAACCATTAAATAAACTAGAATATACAAGGAAGTATTTAGAAAAGTTTATAAATTATAATTATATCTATAAAATTACAAATACGAGATTAATCTAAGTGAATAACAATCATTAGGTAGTAGAATATCCTAGAATATCAAAGTATATTCTACACTACTCTAAGCAAACCAAAACTATAATAAAAACTATATAGTTTAACATATTTAAATTATTCAAATTGTATTTGTGTTGGCATCGAAGATGGGGCCATTTTTGTTTTCTATGAGTTCCCCTCCAAACCGAAAATAACTCTACATTTTGTAATCATTGGTATTAAATGGCTAACAATGATTTTAGTTTTTTGTAAACATAAGCTAAGGATCTCTTGTTTCTTTCGACAACAAGGCTATAAGTTGTAAGGGCACAATTTTTATATTATTTATAGTGTAACAAAGTAAGATCCTAAGATCTTCTTCAGACTTTCTAGTGGTAGTAGCCTATTAGTTTCTTTGATCTTTAGAAAATTCATACTTTTGAAGAATGATCTGTAGAAAAAAAAGTTTAAGTAAAAATCATACCAAAAATTAGTTTGCACCTCTTATGATGTTTCAACCATGTTATTTTCAATTAGTGGGGATTTCATACAAAACCTGGAACTCACTTTTATCACTATATGCTCTTCATAAATAAAGATGTTATCAGTGAGATTTATCCCAAATATTACTCTAATATAGACATATATGAATTGCCATTCAATAGCTTTAATTGTCCATATGGTCTCAAATGTCAATCTCTGGCTTATAGAAGATGGTCATAATATTTAATATGAGCCTCAACTATTCTATCAAGGCATCTCCAACCAATATAGCTATCACATATAAAGTATACCATTGAAAGAAAACCTTATTCATTTGCATGAGCCAAGAAAAATATTTTATGGTGGTTAACATTATATCATCTTGTTAAAATGGTGAGTGAATAGTCATCATCCTTACCTTTGTTTTAATTTTAATCATGACTCTAAAAATCTCTTTACTGATTTTCTTGCAGTTGTTAATTGCAAGAGTATGTATTGGTTCCATGATGCATGCTTCTAAAATATAGAGCCTGCAAAAACAAGTTACAAAAATAGTAAGAAAAATATCTAGTTATAAATATGTATTTTTAGTTTCAATAGTAATGACTTTCCTTGAATCCCTTTATTTTATTGTACTTCTCTTAGATTGACTCGTAAACCATCAAGCTCTATAGTTATAATTTTTCAAACACCATTCTTTCAATCCTTTTATGTAGCTTTATGAATTTAAATAAAATACTAACATTAGTTGTCTCCTAATGGCATCTCCTATATCTAATTTTATCACTATTTGACATCTTGAAAATCTTGCATTATACAAAATGATTGAATTCAAAACTCACATAAATAACTCTTTGATTTAGCATAATTAGCAATACTCAAAACCTCCTGGAAAACTATATATGACTTCCCACACCTTCTTTGAAGAGAAGCTCTAACTCTTACAGAAACGGCTAAAGAAAAGTCGTCCCTGCAGCTAGGATCTTACTTTGTGCAGAGTTAAAACTATCCTAATGTAAAAGCAATATCAAATTTCAATAATCCCTTAAAACACTAGTTGGACATGCATAATTATACTATATGGTGTAAACCATGCTCATCCATATATATGTTTTCATGTGGTTTTGGTTAACATGTGATTTTTCAAAGATAACTTAGGCACTATAATAGCAATTTGAAGTGTTGGCTTGGATCAACAAACTCCTAATGCTATTATTATATAACTCACTCCCAGATTGTTTTGAATAATTCTAATTTTACTTTAGTTACTTAACCATACTTTTGACCACTTGATTGAGTCTTGGTCACCACCTCCATATGTCTTATTCTTGACTTAGAACATGCTAGCCCCGTAAATGGCATTTATGCCACTTAGTCTTTACACTTGGTCCAAGTGCTCCACATATCTAATCCCATAATTGACACTCAAAGGTATTATTAAGATATCAAACCATTATGCTAAGGCCATGCCCATTCACCTTTGTTATATTGGTGGTCAAAAACCACCTACATCACAAACCCATCTCTCAAAGACTAGGTTATCTATCTATGAGTGATCATCCCACGACCACACCTTAACATCTTTAAAATGCTAGAAGACATGGGAAACACCCTTCTTTATGTAGGTAGTTGTAGCACACCTTATCTCTCTCCCCTTAAGCCAACTGGAAAAGGGGCAATTGCTTGATGAGAGAGCCCTTAGTGGCTATTTTATCCCCATTTATCCCCCAAGGTTCCAAGGATCCACGGTGACAGTATATCCAAATCTCATCCCATGATCATATGCGCTACACTCACCCCCCCTTAAGAGATGTCAATGTCCTCATTGACTATTGACTAGCAACCCCTACTGAGCCAAGGGGAACCAGCACCTCCATTTTCGTACTCAATCTATCAATCCTTCCATTGTGTAGACCAGCTATTCCATGTGAGGCAACTAGTCATCCACCCGTACCGCAGTCCCACAGTGGATACCTTCGTCCGTGGATACACCACACAAGAGGAAGGACGTACGCACGGATGCCCAATACGTACGATTTCAAATTTAGGGGTAGGAATATACCTTTCTCAAGGGTATATTATACTTTTAAGTAGCCACTAATCAATGGGAATCGAACCCGTGCCATTTCCTCTGATACCAACTGTAGCACACCTTATCTCTCTCCCCTTAAGCTAACTGGAAAAGGGGCAATTGTTTAATGAGAGAGCCCTTAGTGGCTATTTTATCCCCATTTATCCCCCAAGGTTCCAAGGATCCACGGTGACAGTATATCCAAATCTCATCCCATGATCACATGCGCTACAATAGTGCTACCCATATTTGGATTAAGAGCATTGACCATTTAATTTTCTTAAGGGAGCTAGTGTTGGCTCTTGAACATTTCACCAAGCTACCTTGTTTATTTATTTATATTTACTTTAACCTTAGATTCGTTAATGCTTATATCATCACCCAACACATAAGTATAACCTTCCTTAGTCACAGTGGCCTTTCTTGGCCAAACTGACTCCATTGGAGTCCTCCCCCTTACTATACTTTTGGAGCTCACCAAACCCCCTAGGGTTTTGGGAGACAAACACTTTGGGCTTTCACTATTTGACTCAAACTTAGACTCGGACTCGGACTTGGATTCGAATTCGGTCTCAAACTCAATCTTGGTCTCAGACTTAATCTCGATCTTGGACTTAGTCTTGGTCTTGGTCTTAGTCTCTTTCTCGGCCTTGACCTTGTACTCCATCTCATGTCCATCTTAGACTCAATCTCAAATTCCATCTCAGACTCGACCTTAGACTCCATCTCAGGTCCATTTCGGACTCAATCTCGGGTCCATCTTGAACTTGATCTCAAGTCCATCTCAGACTCCATTTTGGGTCCATCTTGGACTCCATCTCAGGTCCATCTTGAACTCCATCTCGGATTCATCTTGGACTCCATCTCGGATCCATCTTGGACTCCATCTCAAGTCCATCTTAGACTTCATTTTGGACTTTTTATATCCCTTTTTAGAGACTCATTCACCAATTTTTTCGTACTCATCCCTCGAGTTCTACTCCTATTTTCAAGTTTCCAAGTTGAAGCCTTTCATCCATTCATGTTATGCTTATTGGACTTTCGCTTCAACCACTACCATGTGGCACCCCTTCTAGTTGACTTTGGGGCTTAGGGATTTATGTCTCACAACTCCACCACCCATATACAAAGTTCGATGTTCTTATTGAATGATAAACCATTTTATAAAATAAACCCATCATAGATTACCATTTTTCATCTTTGATATTTAACCAATATTTGTCAACAATTTGATACTGAAGGCTCACTACATCTTGCCCATCCTCTAAGGAACATAGTCTCTCCAACTTAAAGAATTATTAGACCACTTGTGGTGGTTCTCTCCCTTTATTTGGTTTAATTCTCGCTAAACCCATTAGAGAGAATATGAATACCATAGAGGAGATTGATTTGATTGAGCACCTTAAGCAAGTTAGATGTCTATTGGTTGAGGGAAATGCCACTAGAACTCGTATCGCGCTTGCAAAAACAATGAAGACTTGATGCTGGCAGATTTTTTCCTCCCTTCTGTTTCCTTCAAAGAAGAAGGTAAGTGTAGCGCACGTGGTTTTGACCCTTTATCCTATAGTGATTCACCATAGAATAACACCACGAAGCGGAACCTAAACCCTCTTTATGCCATGTGACACATGCCACGTGTCCAAAGGATAGTGGTGCGAAACCCGAGGTTTAGGGCCTTGGGCCACTGAACGAAGGAACGGTGCCAAACTCCCAAGCATGGAGCCAAGGAGTCACGGAACCGGACCACAGAGCAACTCCTGGACATACAGCCCATGGAGCGAAGGAATAGGAGCCCGGAGCGACTTGGAACAGTCCTGGAGCAACTAGCATCCCAATGCCAAGACCAGCACGCAAAACGGAGCCAAACGGAGTCTAGTGCTATTTCGGCATACCAATGGCTTAACGCAAGGACATGGGTACTCCACCAGCTAGCATGGAATGGAACTTGGGCTTAGACCCAAGCCGAATGCAGAACAAGGACAAGCATGCAAGTGAGAGTTAGACTATGCCTCAGGTTGGTCAGCCATGCCCAACCTACCCACTATCCCTACTATACATTTGGAACCCCCCACAGCACACACCCCCCCCCTCCTTTGAGGAACACACGCTTTGGGCTTTCACCCAAGCCTCCCTTAGTATCAGGAGTTAGTCTCTGGGACAAGTTCGAAACTTACTAAATATGGAATGGCGCTAGATTGCGAATTTGGACACAGGACGAACACCATTGTGTTCAGGACAATCTTTACATTCCGTAGATATGCCAAATGAGCAAATTTGGACACTTTCCATAAATAGCATTTAGGACCAAAATGAGACTAACACAAAGGGCATGATAGTGAGGGTGTTTGGCAAACACGGTAAGCTATCATCTAGCGATATTGAGGGACTAGTCTCAATATGTGAGGGTTTTTGTCAAGCCAGTGCAAGATAGAGCAAAAGAGAACTAACAAGCCAGGCCGAGTATGCTCAGTTAAATAGACACTTACAAATTCCTTCCTTATGCTCATCCGGCCAAGTATAAATGCAAAGTCCAGTTTACTATGCCATGGAAGACTACTACGAGAACTTTCACACCGAGCTTGCGAACACTACAGCGTGTCACTTCTCTTCGTCGCATGCATTGTTTCCCGGCTTGGCTCCTCCGCCGGATGGTTTCCAGAGCGGGGATTATCCAGAGTGGATTCGCAGGAGGGCCGGCAAGCTTCTGGAGAAGAATGCGCGCAGCAGCAGCTGTGGTGAGGAAGTTGGAAACAAGGATGCGGATCAAGGGACAAATCTCTGGCACAAGATCATGAGCTTTACGAAAGTCAAGACGAAGAACTCGAGAGATTCAAAGACGAAGGAGCCCGCTCAAGCTCCAGGAGAAGATCTAGAGCAGCTATGGCAGCAAGTGTCCACCGTGCTTCAAAGCTCTCCAACAACCTTGGCTCTTGCGACACAAAAGGTACTTGCTACGAACTTAGATGATTCATTGATCCACTTAAGAAGGGCTGATAAAGGAAACCAGCAATACCGACCTCCTGCCATCGTGGCAGTAAGGTAAGAGTGTCCGTAAGGACTAGCCGACATATAATTTTCAATACCCGAAGTCACATTCACGACAGTAAGCCATCATCACCATCGTTGTCGTTGCCTTGTCACTTGTGTCTTGCTGTTTGTACATCCTGGAATTCTTCAGATGCTACTCAGATCATGTCTGTTGTTCAGAAGAGAATGAGTGTACATCAAGTCCCTTCCCAGCTTTTCTCTAACAACCAGCAGCAGCAGCAGCAACTGGCGACAGTCAACCATTCACATGCCCTTACAAAGGTTGTGACAAGCACTACTTCTACGAGTACAAGCTCAACCTCCATCTCAAGAGGGGGCATGTCAAGGAGGAGATGGTGGTGGTGGAGACGAACTTGGTGGGGAGGAAAGTGATAATCAAGCACGAGATCCAGGAAGATAGCGAGGAGACCAAAGACGAGGGGCGAGATGATCTGATGGACGATGCAGGGGGGAACGATGAAGTGTTTGAAGATGATGAAGAAACTGAGGACGATGTGGACTAGTTACTTTGGTCTCTTTACTTTTGTGTGTTTTACTTGTACAAAATGTGTAAACAAAGTAAGGTGATTAAAAGAAAATGAAGAAAATCAAGATGGGATTTGAACCTGCACGGGCAAGCCCACATGATTTCTAGTCATGTCCCCCTTGGTTGCTAGTTCTGAAGGTCAAGAGGAATGAAGAGGACGGATTCTTCAATTCTTGTAAATATTATTGCATTTTGAAAAGCAAATTATTTTCTATTCAGTAGGACAATTCTAGCTTAAGCAGCCAATATGTTTAGAATAATCTAATGTCCACCAATCTCTGCTTGGATATGTCGTCAAGTAACTCACCAGTTTACAATTATCTTCAATTGTAATATAAGTTAAAAGTAAACAGTTTGGTTTGTCATAACAATATGTATTGGGAGACCATAATACATTTAGTTTAGAAGTATATAACACTAAATTTCCATCATTTTGCAGATCTAAAAAACACTCTCCAAAATATTCATTATTTGGAGATTCCCATAAATTAGTTTTTCCAGAAAAAAATGCAAGTTTACAATTCATTTTGATATATAGTACATTCATACGATTTGGGGATTGTAAAAATTTACCTTTATATAAAATATGATCAGAGAAACCAGCACTTAAAGTAGTCAGAGTAATATCACAATTTTCAAAATATTTAAAAATCATATTTATATTTTCTAAATAATTTAAGGGTTTCCAATGAGATACTAATATATATCGAATAAGATAATTATTAAACACAATTCTACATTCACTAGAAAGAGCTTGCAATAGATCATTTATTACCTTTTTAATTATTTCATTTATTGACTTTTGGAGAGAACCACCTAAAACTGGTTTTCCAGTTGAAATTCCTGTAGAACAATATGGAGTACTTTCAGCTAAATGTTGAATTCTTATAACAACACCTCCCCCATTAATATCTATTAAATTAGTATCAATATAATTTTGTGGATAAGGATGAGATTCATGTAATTTTAGTGTTAGTCTTTTAATGTGGCCTACAATTATATTAATATCTTCCTCAGTAAGTGAATTATTTTTACCCCAATCTATATCTATTTTACCAAATACAATTCTGCAATGTATAACTAAAATAAAAAGAACTAAAATTATAGACATTAAAAATGAATTTTAAATAGAATATAAAGTTAATTTTATATATAGAAGAAAATAATAATAATTAATTCTTTAATTATGATAAGCCACTAGCTATATGAGAGATTGGTTTATCTTTATATATATTAATATTATATAGCCTAGACTTGAGTACTATATTTGTTTAAAATATAAAAACTTTTAACAATGTATTACCACATGGCTCTTGTAAGCTTGGGTTTAGAGGCAATTCCTTCATGGACGTTCTAGCCTCCAAAGAATGAGCTTGTTTGTCGCAGTTCTTTGAGACATCTTGCTCTCCAAATGCCACAGGCAAGTCACAGCCGGCATGCCCGATCAGATTGGTAGAAGAAGACAAGTGGATGGCACTGTGTGATGACCTCTTTTCCATTTAATCCATTTCTCTGAAAACCATGGGATTGAATGTTTGAATCAATGTTGTTTGACAGTCATCAAGAACATTTTCAACTTGGAAGCACTCCTTGCACAAGTGGCAATCTTGGAGTGGAAAGATATTGTAGAGTTAGAGCTGTAGTTAAAGAAATAGAGGACATCTGATTGCAACAAGCAGTCCAAGCCACACAGTCATGCCACCATCTTTTGTGGAACTCATAGTTGAGGTGGATAGAGTCGATCATCAGTGCTTTGTCTATGGTTCCTTTCTGGGTGGTAAGGATAAATTGCATGGTTTCATTCCATACTTGCACTTTCACCAGTAATAGCCCTGTCTCCATAGAGAGAATTCCATTGTGCATTCAGTTTTGAAGGCAATGTAATTGTGTTCATTTTTTATATTTTCTGAATGACACCATGTGTAAGTTTTATTTGACATGTACGAAGTTGCGATGCTTACTGGGATTTATCCCATTCCGTGTTTTGCAGGCACGCCGGATCGAGATGGTCGGGCCCCAGCCTGACGCAGTTGATGTAATTCACCAAGCTGTGCCCGGCGATCCCAGGCACGAGCAAGCCTGCAATCCTTGCTACAGTGGACAACCTCGTCTCACTAAACTCCCCGCCATATCTATAGCTCATGAAGAAGCTCTGGACGAGCTCGAACAGCGCGTAAAGCCGGGACAGCACCATGTAAACCGGGGAGAGGAAATTGGGAAATGGCTCGTCCGGAAGGATCTGTGCAGAACGTTAATATGGATCCTACACAGAGAGCAGTGTCTCGAAGTAAAGTACCTGGAGGGTGTAGTTGTAAGTGAAGTAGCAGCAATTCCCGAAATGCTTGAAGCCAAACAAAGAGTTGTCGAAGGGAACTCGAGCTACCATGTCGTTATTGTAGACAACTCTAAAGTACCTCATGGTTGGCTTGTTTAAGCTGGTGTCCATGAAGGACGCAAAGCTCTTGTCTCCAACGCGGGGCTGGCCAAACGTATAGAGCGCCGCGAGCCTCCTGGCAACGTCGTCCTCGGTGTTGTAAAAGACTCGATTCTCTTCCCGGTTGTAGAAGAGCATGGCGGTGAAGAGCGTCGCCAGAGCGCCGCCGAGGCTGTGACCGGTGATGTAGAGCTTTGCGTTTCTGTGGTTCCGGAGGATGGTGACGAGCTCCGCACTGATGTGGTCGTATGCGAGCAGCTTCGTCTCATCGCTGAGGACAAAGTCGGGTAATCCAGATGTTGGAGTCTGTGGCAACGGAGTCCTCGAGTTCTCGTAGATGTTCTGCTTCAACCTCTGGAAGCTTTGCATCCTGTTCCTGTCGCCCAGGCCCAGAGCTTCGAGGAATCCGAGATGGACACGGCCGAGCTGCGGGAGTTCGTACCAGGAGAAATCCAAGTCTGTGCACCAGTCGTATGCATTGAAGGCTTCCGTTCCCCGGAAGGCAAGAACGATGGCTCCAGCATCAGTTTCCCGGTCCGCAAAGATGAATGCTTGAGTCGAGTTTTTTTTCTGAAACTCTGTAGCATGAAAGGGTGAGGGCAACGTCAGATGAAACTGAATAGCGACCTCTTACCGTTCCAACAGTTGTAAGTTCCTAGTAGATGCATCTGCAAAGGAGAAGCTGATGGAGTCAGAGGTTGTGCAAGGCTTGGACTTACCTTCCAATTCTGATTCACGACAAATTCGATGAACTTCGGGTTCTCATACGCAACCTTAGACGCCATAGCACAAACATCTGCTACCACTTTGGAGTCTGGACATGAAAGACACAGACGCTGAGACGAAGGGGCTTGGAGGAGGCTGATTCTTGGTTCCATGTGGCCGTTGAAAGTTAGGTAGCTCTCCGAATCCTCGGAAGGATCAACAAGCCCTGGAAGAACAGCACACAATCAAAAGTCAACACCGTGAAATCAGTTCTAGTTACCTTGTGGATCCATCGAAAGAGTATACAAGGTCCTGAGAATTCCTCCATTGGATGCACAAAGGTTAATTGCCTTCTCCACCCATCTTCCAAAGTGCTTCAGCGGTTGAGAGACAGACCTCACGCTCCGGAGCATAAACAGAGAAAATCTCGCTCTCCAATCGAAGTTCACACTCCCGACTTCCAAAGAATGCGAGATGTGAGGCCACAGGTACGACCACACGCTCGTATAGTGTGCTACGAGATAGCATCTATCATCTGCGACACGAGTGCCCATACTGGAAAAAGCCTCACAATGTCGAAGTTCAAGAGCGAAGAGAAGAATAAGAGGATAGCTTTAAAACATGAAATTCCGACTTACCAAAACTCCTTACCAAAAAGAGGATTTTATAGAGTGCTTTCTGGAAACAACTCGGCAACCGCGGAAACTTCAATCCCGCACGTATCCTCCTGCAAGTTTTTGCAAAAACACGAGATTAGCGCCCACACTGTTTACTTTGCCTGCTAGCCTTCCACGCCGATCTCAACGTCCTGGCCGTCTAGTTGCTTCTGCCGATTCCGGACGCTGATCTTTCGGAACTTTCGCTGCCACCTCTGTTCCGTGATAAACAACTCGGACCACTTCCTCACCCGGAGCGCTGCACTTTCTTTCTGCCGCAACGTTGCTCGAGTATCTTGCGTGAATTAAAGCACCTGGAGAATATCTCTCTTCTTGAGAAAAGGTTCAGCTTCCAGCCATCCTCAACGATGGAAATAAAAGCAAGGCACTCACCACTCGGTTGGATTCGGTTTTAGGCTTATTGTTCTTCGCCAGCTGAAATTTCCGGTGCCTTCAGGGCTGGACTGCTCGAACTTTCCGACATGAGGATGATCACCTGAAGGTAATGTCTCGTTTGTTTTTTTTTTCTGTGCAAACATCAAGGTGGCCGACTCCAAAATCACTGAACTCAATTGGACAAGAACTTTTGGTACTTTTGCCTGTAGAGATTCCATAGTTGTATGTGCCCTCATGTCGGGCTTTTTTTGCAGAATCTGGAAGAGGGGTTTGAGAAGAGGACTGCCTCGTCCCAAGTCGGTTGAAAACAAACTGTTAAGTTTGATTCCGCTCGTCTCCTGTGAAGATGCTCGGTTCGATTACGCGCTCCGTTTTCAACTTGGAAGCTATAAAAGAGAATCTCTATGTACGAAGGAATAGTACCTCGACATTAGCCTGAGCGCCGAAAGAAGGTAGGCATCCTTCTAGAGTATCAGCTTCTCGCTCTTTCCCAAACTTGACAATCATTGGATTCACAAAAACGTACTCTTTGCCTTTGCCTCTTTCACCCTCGGGATTAAAGACCATGAGCCTGGCATTGACGCATACTTGTGGAGCGGACAAGCCTACTCCATCTCTCCTGGCAAAAAAGAAAAGAAGACAAGAAAACAAAGCATGCCAGCGTTTGGCAGTGATGAAATTCGCGAAGAACATACCTGTACATCACGTCCAGCATCTCATCGACAAGCTTCTTGAGATTATCATCAAAGGAATTGATGCGGATGTTCCTCGCGCGGAGCTTGGGATCGGGATACAAGACAATGCTGAGATTGGAATTGAATTCCACGGGGCCAGCTGCGAGGAAACAAGAAAATGAGGAGGCAAGAACCCTATACCACGCAATCTCACCATCGGCTTCCGCTCTCTGTGAACAGTCGTGTAGCTGCCGTTATCACTTGAAATCCTCGCTGCTGCTGCTGCTGTTGCCGGAATGTGCCCGCATTCAATCTCGATCGAGCTCCCAGGAATCCATTCCGAGCATTCGATGGCTGATGGCGCCACGGATTTCCGCCACGCAACGGCACACCACCGCCAGGTGCCGCCATTGCCCAAATGACCACCAGAAATTAGGATTCTTGCGATCTGTTTGAAAATTCTCTATGGTAAAACGCGCCAAGAGCGAAAATAAAGCGGAACTTCTCTCGGCTCTAAGATAGCAGCTCAAAGGCATTCTAGTTGAGTTGATTTACATGTCAAAAAACACGCTTACAAATGTGCCATTATTTCAAAACCAAACACTTCGATTTCAATATATAAATTTGTGAATTATTTAGATTTCAATATTAGCAGAATATTACTGTATCAGTAGAAAAGAATACTGATTGAATGTGATTTCAGGTAAACAACTATGTGATACATTCCCCCTTAAGGAAATAATTTTGAAAATTAATAATTTGCACACTTTAATAAAAATACACCAACTTAAATGAGTGGGTGGATAGCCATGCGTCTCTTGAGAACTTCCAGCTGGGAAAGTCTGGAAGCCTATTCTCCAGCTGCTACTCAAGCAGCATTGGAGTGTAGAACACTTTTATATTCCCCATGAAAGATCACGGTAAAAAAGTTAAAATCATTTCTTCTCAACAAACATTTCTAGAGACATAATGCGCCCTGATATTGCGCTGCTGGGCACCATCGCGCTCTCCACTTAGCGTGACCAAAACCATTCAGCACCAAGCAACAGATCAAACTATGTTAGATTGGACGAAGACTAGGGCACCAAGGGGCAAAAGCTCAACAAGCTGTCCATGAAATCGGTAAGCTCTCCCTGCCTTGTCTGGTCATGCTCGACATGTCACTCTGGAGGACAGCTAGAAGCCATGATCGCTGGGGCGCGGGAGGAGCAACTCTTCGCAATTCCTCCAAGTGACGTCAAAGAGGCCGACTTTCGCATGCGCTATGGCTTGATCGAGATCAAGCATCACATGCCCTCAAACGATAGGTTTGCTGCCGTGGAGATGTCAGGCGAAACTCTTCATTGCGTCAACAAGCTCATCGCCAACGATGTGGCCTACTCGACTGCGTTCCAAAAGAAGAGATGCAGGTCGCACCGATACTGGACAGGATGCTACGGAACCTTGGCCGGTTTACAAGGCCCCGCGAACTTGAAAAGGAGCCGGCTTACGGCCAAGCACCAGACCCGCCATTCGCCGTCTGACAAAAAAGCGGACTTTGTGCTCCAGTATGAGGCTGACAAGGAAGACCTTAAGACCCAGGTGACCCAGGTTGACCTTCCCAACTCTCAGTCTCTGGACTCTTCATCAGTCTGCGAGCAATTCTTCTCCGAGGCACCATTTAGATTGTAAGATGTACCTGTACACTAATCGCTACACGCTTCGTGGACTGTGGCTCAAGGTGACGGTGGATTTCAAACGCGACGCGGGCGTCGAGAATCTCTACCAGCCAGCTATGTACACCATACAGGAACTGGTGGAGACAGCGGCGCGTCCGAAGAGCTACAGACCGCCAGTGACCATCATGGTAAGAATAGTGAGTCACTTGGATCATGAGCGCTGACATATCGTCTTCTAGGCCGGTGACAAGGATGACTGGTATTACGGAATCCTGGAAATAGATGGTTTTGTTTGGGTGGAAAACCATCAGATTGATCAGGCCAGCTTGCAAGGTAAATGACTGCAAAAACGGCTGCCCGTCTAACTATTTGTGGTCGTGTACGCAGAGTTCCCAGAAGAAAAGATGGAGGTGAATCCGAAGAAATTCACTCCAAGCTTTACCCGCACCGAATTACAGAACAACTTCGAAACGTGGAAGAAGGACTTCGCTAAGATCAAGATGAGAATCCCCAATGGTCTTCACCCGGTTGGCCGCTTCTTCATCAGGTAAGAGCCGCGTTTCCAAGCGCTTAGGTATTGACAGACTTGCAGGACGGTGCAAGGGTATAACAAGATGCCTACCCTTGGCGGTGAAGCGGAGCTTGCCAGGGGGCAAAAGAGGTTCTACGATGGCATGCTCAAGACTCTTGTTGGTCGTCAAGTCACCATCTGGAGTCCACAGGATGCGCTAAATGCGTGGAACGCACGCAAGTGCCTCCTTAGGTGCTCCAGCCAACGGTAAACACTTGAAAATGTCTGTGTTTTCAGGTTTTCCAATGTGCTGGAAGTATTATGTAAAAATCTTTTCGCGATCTCTTGAAACTATGCCTCGATATTCTCTCTACTCCCACGCTGCACTGCCGAGTGTAGCCACTACAATGCCACCTGCTTGCTTGTCTAGTGACAATCCAGGAAATGCCAAACTTGGCTGCCATGGTTTGCAAGACGAGCAATTGCTCCTTCCACAGGCCTGCACTGCAATAGAGCTTGACCATGAGCATGTCACAAGCCAAGTCACTGGAGCCACTGTCCAGACTCCAAAGCAATCAAACACGGCTTCTCCCACAGCAAATTGGTGCACGGTTATCCTTTTGGTATGGTTTTTTTAATATAATGTTGTATAAATTTTTATATGGTTATTTTACTGTAGTGCACTAATACATTCTTTCATTTTCATATGGATTTTTCACATAATTTTCTTATAGCCTAGATAGTATTTTTCACTGAAACATTGTTATCCAGAGTTTATATGCTATATAATTATTCATATAGATTATTGTTTGATCAAATTATTCATGTCACAGCCGACCATCGAATCTACCCAGATTATTATAAGCCCATACTATCCAATACCACGCTACAATATCTTTAACTCATCCATCCTTGAAAGTGTTTGCTTGCCTATGTAAGTAAACAAAGAATTTAATATTATTCACCAAGAATTGTAACATGGATCTTCCAAGTATGAAGTTTTTGGAACAGTATTAATGCTCTCCAAAAATTTTATCAATATAGTTTGCACTACCACAATATGGGTAAGCCTTCCTTAAAGTTCTACTATGTCCCCAACTAAAATTTATATTGCTTTATTGTTGTTGGAAAATATTCCTGGAAATTGATGTGAAACCATATCTAAAACTATATAGGAATACCACCAAAAAGTATTATAGTGAGGGAAAATGCAAACTTCCCCCAACAAACTCCCAATAAGAAGAATGTATATATGATCAGAATGCATAAAACCAAGCTAAATTATGCTATCTAGTGTATTTATCTACTTCTAGCTTACCTCTAAAAATGTGATACTTGAACACTGTAATTAGAATTATTATACTTATGAAATAAGTTTTAATAATATATATTTTCTGAGAAGTAAAATTATAATAATTTGTTGCATGTAGCAACATCTAGTTTACTTAATATTATTCCTTATTATTTAATAATTTAATTGATTAATTGATAAAGACTAATCTTGTTACATATTAACCATTAGATAAACTAGATATTTAGGAAATTTTATAAATTATAGTTATATCTATAAAATTACAGATACAAGATTAATCCATGTGAATATCAAGAATTAGATAGTAGAATATCCTAGAATATCCAAGTATATTCTACACTACTCTGCTTTAAAACATAATAAAAATATATACTTTAACATACTTACATTATTTAAATTGTATTTGTGCTGGCATAAACCAAATATAGCTTTATATTTTGTAATCATTGGCATTAAATGGTTAACAATGATTTCAGTTTTTTTAAACATAAACTAAGGATCCTTTTTTTTTCACAACTCTAAGGCTATAAATTGTAAGGGCATGACAACAATACCTCCATATATTTTTGTGTTATTTATGGTGTAACAAAGTAAAATCATAAAATCTTCTTTAGAGTTTTTAGTGGTAGTAGCCCATCAATTTCTTTGATCTATAGCAAATTTATAATTTCGAAGAATGATCTATAGAAAAAAGAAAGCTAAGTAATTAAAAATCATACCAAACATTAGTTTGTACATCTTATGATATTTCAACTTCAATTAGTGGGGATTTCATGCAAAAATCAACTACAAATAGGTCCATCAACTGTTTCAATACCTTAGATCTTTCTAACATTTATTTTTAACTCTTGTTTGAATTTTAAATTTGTTAGACAATGGTATTTGATTAATTTGCACTTTATCACTAGTGCCACTATAGGAAAAACATATATAAAACTATATTGTTAGACATTTCTATAAATATTTTAATGACATTCTCAACAACCATCAACATTTTGTAAACTAAATCTATACAATAGCTTATTCAAAACTCTAGATGTGGATCAACCAATCTATTATTGATAGATTTGAAAGTTTGAAGAATCTTTACTTATGTTACTTCCAAGATCTATCTTCCATCAAAGAATGAATGTACCTCTAATAACAACTTCAAAACTCTAGCTTCTCATATTGATGCATCTACTGGGGCTAAATGATCTTTATCTTTCATAGATATCATCTTCTTCTTATATATTTTTTTTCCAACTAACTTATCCTTACTAAGTTTAAGTCTTGTTTAAGATTGTAAAACTACTATTGCAACATGTTAAAGTTATTTTTACTCTTTAATGGTTTTGGGGTGTGTATGGTATCTAGACTTCATACTACATTTTCAAACACAAATTTGACATTGACTGTTTAATCATTCTATCTGTGAGTCTAGTTTGAGATAAATGCTATTTTCTTTAAGTTTTTATGACCTCAATTTTGAAATAGACATGGCAATCCAACTTACAAAGCACATGCATTGTTATATGCTTCATGTCAAAAAAATCATATGGAAAACCATACTATAAATGAAATCTTTGACAAGATTATATACATGGTTTCACTATATTGTATTAACTTGATGGCTACATTCTTTTTTGGTTTGGTGTAGTTTTGGTAAATGCTATAGTCATGTAGTTATATATATAATTTTCTAGCCCTTGTATCATCTTGTGCATAATAGAGTCCTTATATAATTAAGCATGGAACCTCATATTTAACAAGCACTCTTAGATTGGAGTTTTATACAAAAAAAGAATGTGTGAAATATGGAAAGTTCATTACTCTTTATAATCTTTATTTTATTGATAAATCTTTTAAAACAAATTGTGTTCTTTCATAAAATACATTGAATTCTTCTATCTTAGAAAGGGTTTGTTTGCAATTGTCCATAGCTTCTCACCAAATGTAATGCACCATATCTCTTTCCCTTTAAAGTAGGGGTAATTTTTTGCTAAAATAACTCCCTTTAAAGTAGGAGTTATTTTATTTTTATTTATCTTCTAAGGTTTCAAAGATCCACAGTAATAATATATCTAAATCTCATCTCATGATCATATGTGTTACATAAAAAACAAGAGAATTGCACTTAAAATCTAAAGAGTAAGAAGAACTTACAAATTTAATTCTTCTTCCCATTTTTTCTTCTTTAAATTGATTTCTAGTCTTGAATTTCCCTTAGAGTAGACAATATATAGTTCAACTTAGATATTTACAGACTAAGGGTCTTTAGGGCGCTAGAGGATGGAAATTTATCAATCAGCTGTGGTTTAGCCACTTTTAACTTAGTGTTTCCATGTAATTTGTGCTGTAAGAAAAACTATATAATTTTTTTATTATCTAAACATAAAAAATCATGTACATTCATAAAACCAGATAAACCATTCATTTGGCCAAAGCCACCTAAATAGGCCCACTTGGGACACCTTTCTCACACTCTTGACGTAGTATCTGGAGTAGAACCACTGAAACCATCACGGTCAGGATTCAACACGAAGAGGTAGTGGTTTAAGAAAGAGAGCTTTGAGTAGATTGCTTCTTCTTTTTTCGTGAAGAAAGACGTCAAACTCGTATCTGGAACAAGGAAAAGCGAGAAGATGAAGACTTACAATTAACTAGTTCATTCATCTTGCAAGGAACATTGGGGAGCACGATCCAAGTTTCAGTGCTCTCGGCCAGCAACTGAAGACGTGAATCAAACCAACAAAACAGTTGGACGACGGATTGTGAGCGAATCCACCTCTAGATTGTCAAGCTCAGATTGGTCGATTTGTAGAAACTAATCAAAAGGACACCTTTGCCAAGATCCCTTACATAATTATAATTTCTGTTCTTACTGTGCATGGAGGCCGAAGCTTCGTTTTGGATTTGATGACATGCTTGCATGTTCCAAAAAGTTTGGTCACCTTTAGCTAGCAGACGGCCAGCTGTATATACTTTTTTTTTTTCTAAATTTAAAAGAAAAAAGGAAGGACATGATAAATTGGTGGAGTATAATTGAGCGATCCATCGCAAGCATGGGGTCTGGATCGACGGATTACGCTCTGATCCAAAACGACGAGGAGGCGGGGACAAGTTTGGAGCCCGTGAGTGGATACAGTCCCAGCTTTACAATCTCAAAAAAGGTAAGCAAGAAGAACAGGCTTCATTGATCTTGTCGCTCGAGGGGATCTAAGCGATCTCTTATTGGTATAGCTCCTGTGTGAGTTCCTAGGCAGCGTGGTCCTCTTGCTTGGAGGAGCTGGAAGCGCCATTATCAACACCCAAACGAATGGAGCGCTGGGAATTCACGGCCTGGCGGGAGGATCCGCGATTGCAGTGGCGATTGTCATCATGTCCACGGGACACATCTCGGGCGCTCACATCAACCCGGCAGTCACTCTTGCCTTCGCCACATTCAGGCATTTCTCATGGATCCAGGTAAAAATCAAGTTTTTCCTCTCTCCTTTGGTATGATCAAAGATGGTGGCTCTTTGAAGGTGCCTCTCTACATAGTGGCGCAATTGGCTGGATCCCTGGCTTGTGCTTTCCTCCTCAAAGGGATGTATAATCCCGATCACCTGGCAACCGGCGTCACTGTTCCAGCCGGGTCAACGCTCCAGTCGCTCCTCTTTGAGATTGTTCTCACGGCGGTCCTCATGTTCGTCATCACCAGCGTCGCCACTGACACACGAGCAGTAAGAACATATCTGTTGCTTGCAAGCTTCTATGGTTTCTTACGCTACAACCAGGTTGGAGAGTTGGCTGGAATCGCCGTTGGCCTGGCTGTCTACTTGGACATTTTGCTTGGGGGGTACGTAAGAAGCGCGTGTTTGTTGGCTATGGCGAGCTTATATACTTGCAATGCAGCTATATCTCTGGAGCTTCCATGAACCCCGTGCGAACGCTTGGGCCGGCGGTGGCGGCTAGAGACTTCAGGGCATTGTGGATCTATTTCGTTGGACCGGTGGTGGGAGCTCAGATTGGAGGTGGTCTCTACACGCTCATACGCTTCAAAGACCATACCGAACGCAGGAAGGTGTTCAGGAAAGAGTAAGAAAATCTGGAATGAAAGTTCATGCTTAAGGTTTTAGAAATTTGTGTAAGCATGGCATGTAGTAGCAAAATGATCCGGCTTGCGACAGCTGTGGTAGCGTGCTCGAGGGGATCAAACAAAAAGGAAATCAAAGAAAAGGAACTCGCTAGGCTGCCTCTGCGGCGGCTTGCGATTTTATATAGTTGTCTGATGCTGTTGCCACCGATTGGATCGTCACTGGTACGCCGGGTCCCATCTGCAAATTTTGCAGCCAGCGAGCGAGATCGTCAAGCTGTCTGTCGAGAAAATTAGAGAACTCACCGTGGACGAGAGGTAGAACTTGTCAAAGAAACCAGTATACCTGGAGCCTGCATCACAGCATTCCATTGAGTTTGTGGATTAAAAAGTATACGACGCTTACTTTTCTTGAATCCTGCTGGTTTCGCACCAAGAACTGCTGCCGAGAACGCGGCGATGTTTTGGAACAGGTGCTCGTCCGGAAAATTGACCTGTGAGTTTGAAGTTTGAAGCGGATGAGTCGAGCAAAATACAAAGAGTTTCTCGCTACCTTTCCGAGCCCGGCATGAATGATAGCGGTTTTGTCTGCTCGAAAGTCGACACGTCCCTGCTTTGCGGCTCTCACCGCGTCGGCTACCATAACAGTCACGGTCCCCGTCTGAAGTAGAGAACAACGCTCTTGTTAGAGTAAAAGCTCAGCTTTTTCTCCCTACCTTGGGATTTGGCATCATGCCTCGCGGTCCCAGTATACGCGCAATCTACGAGTGGATCACTTCGTAGTAAGGAATAGCATGAGGAAAACGATTACCTTTCCGAGCTTTGGCATAATGGAGGGGATGGCAATACATTTGTGGAAGTCAAGTTTTCCTCCACCTGTAAGTCCGGGACCTTAGCGAAAAAGAGAAACGGAATAAAGCTTAACGATCGCTTACTGGCAAGAACTTTCTCAACCAGATCGTCAGTTCCAACGACGTCCGCTCCAGCCGCTAATGCCTCTTCCGCCGCCAGCCCGTCAGCAAAAACAGCGACTTTGACAACCTACGCTACGATCCACCTTCACATAAATCGCATGATGCTGAAGAGGAAACAAATGCACCAAGTCTCACCTTTCCACTCCCGTAGGGAAGCGTCACGGCACCACGAACTATCTGCAACCAAAAAAGAGAAAAACAATACAGTCATAACAGGAGCTCCGATGCACTACAAAATCGTCCGACCTGATCAGACCGTTTCGGGTCGACTCCCAACTGGATGTGTACTTCCACTGTTTCGACGAATCTGCAGTGAGCGGATTTCTACAGAAAAAGAAAAAAGCGAAGAAAGAAAGATCAGACCGAATGAACTTAAAACTTAACATCACGTTACCTTGACAAGTCGAATGGCTTCTCCCAGGCTGACAAGTTCCTTCTTCTCCTTCGTCGCCGTCTCCTTGATGATCTTCGGTAGAGGGAGCGTGTAGTCGTAGGCCATTTGTGATGGCATATAAGGTCTCCTTGGTGGAGCTTTTCTCACTGCTGGAGCTGCCTGGGCCTCGACCTCCTCGACCTCCGGAGCTGGCCTATCTTCCGGGAGCGGCATTGTGCGTCGTTTGGGATACGCCACCTCTTCCACACTCTCGCTGGGAGCTGGCGTCGACTCGGCTGGCGGAGCTACATCCCCCTCGCTAGCTGCTGAAGCCGTTTGAGGAACTTTGTCATCCTCTAGAGCTTGTTTCCCAGCATCTTTGGTCCCAGCGTCCTTGGAAGCCTTCGCAGAAGTTTTCTTGGCATAGCCACTTTCAGATGTTGGCGCTGCTTTCTCTTCCTGCTTCGATCCGGGAGCTTTCTTCGCATAGCCGACAGTGGCATCTTCTACACTGGCGACTGCTGGTTCCTTCTTTGATCCGGCTTTCTCCTCTTTCTTCGATGAGCCGGGAGCCTTTTGCTTGTCACCTGGCTTCTTGGAATCCGAGGACGCATACCTCAAGGAGACTCCAATGCCGCATTCGGTGTTGCTGTTCCTTGTCAGGCCCAAGAACCCACCACTCCTCACCAGCCGACGAAGAAGCGCCATAACCTCATCAAAACCCTATACCCCTGCCTCAGCGTTAAACCCCTTCGTCTAAACTCCCATCATCCTCTTCACCCCTTCGTCCGTCCCGAACGCCTCGGCTATGTGGAGCAGCGTCTTCACCTGGAGCTTCCCATACGCCGCCGTGATCCCTCTCACCAAGATCTTCATCGCCCTCTCCTTGTCTCGCTCGGGGCACGTCAAGAACAGCCGAGCCAGGAGAAATCTCGTCTTGAACCATCCCGGGGCCGTAAACTGCAGCATCTCCATCACCTGGACGTGCCCCACGAACGCCTTGCCGCGGAAGGACCCCACCTCGTTGATCGCGTAGTTGCAGTAGAGCTCGGCTCCCCCGGCGCGTATCCACACTTTCTCGAGCTCGGCGATGTCGAGCTTGTCCAGCACCTGTTCGAGCTGCGAGACCTGCGCAGCCATCGCCAGGAGCTCCAGCGACTTGTCGATCACGTCCACCTGCTGGAGCGAAACCGTCTTGAGTTGCTCGTGATGCCTGCTCTCCAGTTCGCACCGCTTGCACTTGCAGGTGAATCTCCAGTCGATGAAGCACTCGTCCCTCCGGTGCTCCCACCACGATGCCAGGCACTCGACGTAGCACAGAACAATCTCCTCGCCAGCCTCGAGATCTCTGGCTGCTCGGATCATCATGGCTCGGCCAAACACGTCCGAGGCGACGTTTGGCAGGCACGAGTGATTGATCAATCCTGGAAGTCCCCAGATGCCGGCGAACTTCGGAACGTCGCCACCAAGCCTGGGCCCGAACGACGACATCTCGATAATCTGTCTCGCCCTGGCTGGAGAGATGGAGCTCGCCTGCTCCTTTATATCGAGCTCGCTGTTGCTACCGAAGTTCGCCAGCTCGGGAACTCCGGTCATGTTGTGATGAATCGCCAGCGCGTCCATCTGCTTCAAAGCCCGGGTGCTGGAGTTCCCAACCCGGACGGTCTCCACCACCAAGTTTCCCTGCAGCTCCGCCTCGCTCAGCTTCCTGTCCAAGTTGGGGACGTAGACGATGGGATTCGCGACGACGAGGAGCTCTCCGCAGTCGACTCGCCGAGTCACAAACACTCCCCTTCCACGCCCGTCTCCAGTCATCCGAATCTCCACAGGTCCGACGAAGTCGGCACACTCGGGAGTTAGATCCTGGCGGCAGGAGCTGAGAAGAAACTCTTCCAGATCGTAGACTCCACTCTCGGACTGCTTGAGCAGCTTGGAGCATCGAGAGATGGCGGACTTGATCGCCACCTTTCCGGAAGGCGAAGAAGAAGAAGAATGATCCTCAGTCAAGGCCTTGTTGAGCAGTTCCAGAGCTTGCCGGTGCTGCTGGAGCGCAGAGAGCGCCATTGCTTTCCTGTAAAGGCACTTGGAATGCCGTGGATCGATGCCCAGGGCCTGGTTGCAATCGGCTATGGCTTCCTCGTACCTCTGGCACCGCAGAAAAACTTCCGCCCGGTTGGACGACGCGAGCACAAACTCCTCGTCGTCGCGCTTCCTGGTGATCTTCTTGGAGCTCCTTGCGATGGAAGCATCGTAGCACAGCCTCGCAAGGACGTAACTCCCAGCCGCGAAGAACTCGTTGCCTTTGAACCTGATCTCTCGAGCTTCCTCCTTCCTGGAGAATAGATTCTTCCTCGCCTCGACGATCTCCACCGACAGTGGCGACTGGACGAAGAGCAGCGGGAAATGCGATCCTTCCACGGTGGAGAGAACCGGCTCTTTGAGCACAACCTCCACATCCCTGGGAAACAAGGAGCAAACCTGGCCAGCGCTGGAATCCGACACCACGGCATTGAAGATCACGATGAAGATGACACAGCCGTCGCAGGCCTCGATCGCGGAGACGACAGTGTGCCCGGATCGCACGGGATCGGTGCCAAGGAATCCTGCGACGCCATAGCCCTCGTAGCACTTGAGCTTCCGGCATTTCGCCCGATCTTTCCCGGGCTGCTGCTGCTGCTCAAAGCGATCCTTGAATTCCCTGATCACTTCCCGGAGCGGCAGCGTCTTGAGACGATCCAGACGAGGGATGCGATCCTTCCATCCCTGTGTCATTGCCCGATTCTCCATGATAGATGCCAGCATTCTCACGCCGCGGTCCATTGGAGACTGGTCCATGGGAAACGAACAAAGAGCCCTAAATTTTCAAGAATATCCTCATTACAAGCGGCCTAAATCCCTTGGAATATTCTCTCTCGATGAATTAGGGTTTATCAGGGCAAGAGCAATGCTCCCGACGCCGTGTCTCTCGGCCGGATGCCGCCGGCACGCCAGATTAGCGCCCGGCAGCGTCGATAGTGGATTCTTCGCGTCGCGGCAGCTGCACAGGGCTCACATTTCTTCTCGCAGGAGGAGATTGCGAGCTAGAATCTCCGGGTCTGTTGCTTCCTCCTCCTCCTCCTCCTCGGCATCGGCCGCGGAGAAATCGAATGTTTTCGGGAGTGAGAAGCGGCTGTCGGGGCCCAAGAAGCTGCTCGAAGGCATGCCTGCCCCGACGAGGTATGTGACGTGCACGGCGATTGTTGCTGGAGCTCTCATGGCTGGCTATGCAGTGGGAAGCCAAGCCAAAGGCACTCCCAACGCTGCATTGGCCGGGGCAATCGCCCTGGGCGCTGTTGGAGGAGCTACAGCGTTTGTCGTGAATTCCATGGCTCCCGATGTAGCGGCAGCGCAGGTGCACAATCTACTCGTCAATCATCCCGATCCAAGGTCGCTGCGAGGGGAAGAAATCGAGGGGATTCTCAAAAAGTATGCTTTTTTCGTTTCGCTCTTTCATCTTGCTGACTTCGATTCTTCTTTGCTCGCTCAGGTTTGGGATCAACAAAACGAATGAGAAGTTTAATACCGAGCTTCGCAATCTGTACGATAGTTTTGTGAGCTCTGTTATTCCTCCTGGCAACGAGGATCTCAAAGGCGATGAGGCCGCGACGATTCGGAAGTTCAAGGAGGCTTTGGGATTAGACGATCCGGATGCTGCTGCTGTTCACATTGAGGTAAAATCGCTTGGGTCTCCGGTTGCCGGTTGTCTCAGCTTTTCTTGCCTCTAGATATGCAGGCGAATTGTCAGGCAACGACTTGAAACTGGTGATAGAGACACTGCTGTTGAAGAACTTCGGGTAAGATTTCTTCTGCTTTAATATTTCCTGCGATGCTGACGCTGTCTAATTTTCAGGCATTCCAAAAGCTTGTATACGTTTCGAATCTTGTTTTTGGCGAGGCCTCGAAGTTTTTGCTACCTTGGAAGCGAGTTTTCAAAGTTACCGATTCTCAGGTTTGTTTTGGATGTTGTCTGTACACTGCTCTGACTCATGTTGTGTACAAAGGTTGAGATAGCAGTTCGAGACAATGCTCAGAGGCTATTTGCAACAAAGCTAAGCTCAATTGGAACAGGCAAGTAATCTTCATATAGAACTTGTATATTTTTGTTCTAATTACTTTGCTTGCTATAGATGTTAATATTGACCAACTCAAAGAACTGCGGCGAATCCAGCTCAAAGTCCAGCTCTCTGACGAGGTAACACTTGCATACACTAAGAAATATAGTTCTGATCTGTTTGTAGTAGATTACGAGTTCCCTTTTCAAGTCGCACACTCAAAAGCTTCTTGAAGGATACATTTCTCGAGCTTTGGAGGTCTTGAAAGCTCGAACCAGAATCAAGTAAGTTTTAATGATTCTCTGTACAGACTAAATTCAGACTAAGTTACTTATAACCTGTTTCCAGGGATACAAAAAAATTGGTGATGGAGCTAGAAAACATGCTAGCATACAATGATTTACTGTCCGCCCTTGCTAAGGATGCCGATTCTTCAAGCTTGGTACCAGGCCTGGGCCCAGCATCGGTCATAGGTTTGAGTGCATACACTATTCTTTGTTTCTTACACTTTTCATGGATCAGGAGGTGTCTATGACAGCGATCGGGCAATGGATGACCTTAAACTGCTGTATCGAACATATTTGAGTGAAGCTGTAGTATCAAATGGTCAATTGCTCAAAGAGAAGGTATGACTCGCTCGGTTACAGACGATCCCATCTTAAGCAATAACGTTTTATTTTTATTGTAGCTGCCCTTGCTGGCTCAGCTGAAAAACACATTTGGCATTGGAAATCGCGAGGCCGACGATATCATGCTGGATATCACAACGAAAGTCTATCGCCGACGGCTATCACTAGCAGTTACAGACGGCGATCTTGATGCCGCAACCAGCAAGGCAACATTCTTACAGAATCTCTGTAATAGTCTTCAATTTGATCCTGCAAAGGCAAGCAAAGTGCACGAAGGTTTGTAAATTTCTATCGGTGTCATCTTGTTGACTTAATTCTCGTTTCATTTCCAGAAATATACAGGCAAAAACTTGAGCAATGCGTAGCTGACGGTAGTTTGAGTGACGAGGATATTTCAGCGTTGCTGCGACTGCGTGTTCTTCTGTGCATTCCTCAGGAAACTGTTGAGACTGCCCACGCAGACATCTGTGGTCGTATTTTTGCAAAGGTATTCATACTTCCCTTCGTGTACTTTTCTTACTAAAAATTCCTCTCTCAGGTCGTCAATACTGCCATTTCTTCGGGAGTTGATGGCTACGATCCAGAGACGACAGCCACTGTTCGGGCAGCCATTAAAGGCCTTCGTTTAAGCCAAAAAGCGGCTATGGATATCGCAAGCAAAGCGGTACTGTCACGCAGAATCTTTAATTTCTAGAGTGTTACTGAATTGGCTGAATGCAGGTTCGTACTATGTTCATGACGTATGTGAAGAGATCAAGAACAGCAGACAACCGGACCGAGTCGGCAAGAGAGCTGAAGAAAATGATCCTCTTCAACAACCTTGTGGTCACTGAGCTGGTGGACGATATAAAACAGGATCCCAACGTCGTCAAGGCTGAGTTCGTGGAAGAGAAAAAAGTGGAGGAAGTCGACTACATTGACGATGGCCTGGAAATGCTACAGTCTCTCAGAAAGACGAAACCGGACCAGACCAGGGAGACAAGTGGAAAAGAGCCACAGAAAGAGATAACTCTGCGTGACGACCTTCCAGCCAGGGATCGAACGGATCTATATCGGCTCTACCTGATATACTGCCTCACCGGAGAAACGACTCACATGCCGTTTGGGTCCTCGATCGTGGTACAACGAGACAGCAGCGAATTCGAAAGGCTTGGTGAACTGGGAATCATCCTTGGCCTCACACCGATGGAAATCGGCACCGTTCACAAGGGGCTGGCAGAGCAGGCTTTCAAGCAGCAAGCCGAGGTGATCCTTGCAGATGGCAAGCTCTTGCCGCAGAAGATGGAACAGCTCGTCGAAGTCCAAAAGCAGCTCGGCCTCCCATCCGATTCGTTCCAAAAAGTCGTGCACAACATTGCAACGACAAAGATGGCGGGAGCCATCGATGCTGCTGTGAGGAGCGGCGAGCTCAAAGTGGAGGAAATCAAGGAAATGCGGGATGCGGGCGTGAAGATCGACAGCATGATATCCAAGGAGCAACGAGAGAAGATGTATAGGAGCCTGGTGGATAGGGAGCTTTCATCCGGAAAGGGAGAGTTCGACGAGGACAAGTTCTATACTTCCATGCCCGCGGAACTGGAGCTCGATCCCGCGAAGTGCCGGAGCATGGTGGACGATCTCGCCAAGCAACGGTTGAAGAGCTCGCTGATTCAAGCCGTGGCCTTGTTGAGGCAGAAGAACGAGACAGGAGTGGTAAGTTCTCTCGAAAGCTTTTCTTTTCTGTTTCCTTGGTGAGATTCGTGACAACGTTTTCTTCTTGTTTCAGGTGTCTCAGCTTACAAATCTTCTGCTGTGCGACAAGCTTGTAAGATCAGAGAAGCTGTCGTGGGCAGTGAAGGACGAGCTGAAAGATCTCTACTGCATCTACGTAAAGACGTCTCCTCCGGCGGAGAAGCAGCAAAGGCTGCAAGAGCTGTTTGGATTCAGCGCGTCCATGGCCAAGTCGCTCGAGGACTTTGTCGCGGCCAACGGATTCAGCCTCGCCGGAGACGAAGAGGAGCTCAAGTTTTGAGAGGCTGTTTGTTTGTACTCTACATAAAAGTTTTCGCGCTACCAACATATTCTCGGAATCTTACTAAATGGTCTAGGGTTCGAATCCTAGCACACATTCTCGAGTACTGGTCTGGGGTTCGAATCCTACTCGCGTTAGCGTTAGGGTTAGGGCGCGTGGGAGCGGGAAAGGAAGAATGAGGTAAGCGAGCGCTTGCTTGTGCGCAGCTCAGCTTTGTGTGTTTGCCTGTGTTCCAGTGGCGCGCGAGCGATGGAGGAGGACACAAAGAAGGAGGAGGAGTTTAACATCGGGCCTCTCTCGGTTCTCACTTCGAGCGTCAAGCAAAATACCCAGGTTAGAATCACTATGGTGAAATTCTCTCTCTCTCTCGCGCGCGCGCGCTAAGCTTGTCTTCGTTTCTTTCCCCCCAGGTGCTGATCAACTGTAGGAACAACAGGAAGCTGCTGGGGCGCGTCAAGGCATTCGATCGCCACTGCAACATGGTGCTGGAGAACGTCCGCGAGATGTGGACGGAGGTGCCCAAGACGGGCAAGGGGAAGAAGAAGGCCAAGCCCGTGAACAAGGACCGGTTCATCAGCAAGATGTTCCTCCGCGGCGACTCGGTCATCATCGTGCTCAAGAATCCCAAGTGAAGCCAGCCCCAGTGAGTTTCCAAAGTTCTCTCGAGTAGGCTTCTTTTATCGCGGCTAGCGCGGACTAAAATCTCTCTCGTTTCTTGTACACTTTGCTCAGAGAAAAGCAAAGCAAAGCAAAGCGATTTTGCCACTGCTCCTTGTGTCTTGTATGCTTTGTTGTCCTCGTCCTCGTCCGTCCGGAGCCAGGAAAAGGCCAGAGATCTTTATAAAACTCCTGGTAGCGATCTAATCTCATTAACTCTTGCTGCGCAGGACCGCCATCCATCCCGCGAATCCCGGAGCAGCAAAAACACAAAAACTGAAGTCCAAGCTAGCGCGAGTGACGTGAGAGATCCTGAGCAGCCCATCCCTGCCAGACTCGGAGGAAGAAGGAAGATCAGCATCAGCATCAACCAGAAAGACAAGTCTGTTCCACCAAAAGCTCATTCAAGCACTTTGGCTCGCATCAAGACAGCACAAGGAGTAAAGACTTGATAGCGAAAACCCGAGAAAAGAAAAGAAAAGAAAAAGAAATAAAGAGAGAAGGACCACTCTGGTTGATCGCCAGAACAAGAATTGTGCGTCTCTCTCGCGATATATACGTACCATAGCTTTGCATTCCCTTAAATTGGGCTGGAAATCGAGAGAATGCGGCGAGAGAGAGAGAGAGAGCGCGCACAGCCAGCCACGGAGCCTCGCCGCGCGAATGCAATGCGACTGCCTCATAGAGAGAGAGGACCCGCGCACTAGAAATTCAAGTGACGGGAAAAATCAACCGCGTCGCCATGCAAGAATGGGCCTCCCTTCATGAAGTTGACGCCTGCCGGAAGAGTTTATAAGATAAGATGGCATGCCTCTAGATATTCTCTCATCTCCGCGAGCGGCGGGCGCTTTCTTTTCCATGGAACCACTCCTGCGCAGGGATTCTCGTGTGTCGGAACGAAAAGAGGAGGAGAGAAAAGGATGTGGAAAGCGCGAAGCGTTGTTCCTCCGAGAGGAAACGCAAAAGAAAGAGAGGTCTGCAAGCATTGCTGTCTCTTCCAATTCGTCTTCCTCGGTTTTCTTTCTATATCTCTCTCTTTCCAGGCGGCTGGAGACGTCGAATCCATCCATGGAGCTTCTACACCTCAACCAGCACGAGTTCACAGACGCGGGCCTGTCACTCGCGCCGCCTTCGTCCTTCTGCTTCCAGCCGATACCCTCCTTTGTAAGAACACCCACCGCCGCCGCCGCCACGACCGAGGAGAGCAGTAGCAGCGCTGGCGCCGAGGTAATCAACAGCAGCAGCAAGAAGCGCAAGATCGACGACCACCGCAATGCTGCTGCTGTGAACATTCCCGATCGTGATCTCCAGCTCGACGTTCATGGCGCGCGCAACGTTAACAGCTGGCCGATGCGGGACGTGAGCCTCCACCTCTCAGCGCAGCCGCTGCCGAAAGGCTGGGAGCAATGCTTGGATCTCAAGGTTACTTCCGCTCCAGAAGATTTTTCTCCAAAATATCAGTCACTCACTCTTGTCAATGCAGGCGGGAGAGATGTATTACTTCAATAAGGCGCTTGGGCTGCGAACCAGGGATGACCCACGTATGGGATTCGATTGGAGCAGCGGCAACAGCAGTCATTCCCTGGCGGCCACCAAGGACATGGCGTCGCTCCTCGAGATGAACAACACCTACAGGATGGCCTTGGCGCAGCTGCAGCAGCAGCGGTATCGATATCATCAAGTCGTGCAGCGGCATTTGGATCTCAGCCGCAACCTGTCTTGCACCTGTGCCTCTTGCTCTTGGAAGCGCCAATTTGGCCGTAATCTCCACGACGCCTCGGGTGCTATGGTCCAGAGGAAGCGAGGGTGATTGCATGCTTGTTTTCCAATTCAATTGCGAACCCACAACTTCGAGCATTCACGCTGTTTATTGCGAAAGATTGGCGGTGGATTGACAGTCTTTGGTCGTATTCATGGAGGGTGTAAAACATACGGGGAGGGAATCACTAGAATCAATCCCACATTCATGAACAGAGGCTTCCAAGGGATGATGCGGTGTCCGGACCAAGTGTGTGCCTGGAGCTCCATCGTAGCAATGGCAATACCCAAAGCGGGCAATTCGCATTTTGCTGTGCGCGGGCGTGGCATTCTTATCAGGAACAAGTCAGAGCTGGGATGTGGGGGATTACGTCACACTCAAGATTTAGCTGCTGTCATTAAATGGTGAAAGTATGTAAGTTACCACATAGTTTTACCAGTGTTGAAAGTGAAAGTATACATTACTTTCATATAATATTTTATAGTTTGATTTGGTGCATTGACCATGTGTATTTTTCAGTTTTAGGATTTGGCTTTTTGTTTTTAAGACTCCTATACCCGTGATTAATGAAACAATGCTGGCATTATTATAGTTGATTTTTAAATTCTGATTTACAAAGAAAAAATGTTTTAAAATAAATGGAGACGCCGGGTATCGATCCCGGTACCTCTCGCATGCAAAGCGAGCGCTCTACCACCTGAGCTACACCCCCAAGACGTTGTAAACTTCCAAAATTTTGCAACATATTATTACAAAACTATACAATCTATATCCACAGTTCTTTCTCGCACACGACCAACACAATAAATAATGGACAAGGCTACGCGGCGATCTTTTGTTTCTCGGCGGAGACAAGGGACGTGTTGGCGATCTTGCCCTGGAGATTGAGCGCGCTCAAAAGGCGAGGCCAAGTCTCCGGGATCCCGCCAAGGATCTCAAAGTCAAGCAGCTTCCCCTGTGCTCTATAGTAGTCCTCCACGGGTCTCGACTGCAAGCAAGACGATGAATCAATCACAAAACTATGGAGTTCTATGGCGTTCTTAGAGCACAGACCTCCAGGGAGTAGATCCGGACCCTTTCCCTGATCACTTCTTCCGTGTCGTCGCTTCTCATGGTCATCTTCTTGAGGCACCGCGGGGGTGGCAAGATGGCCGGCATGAAGATCCGGGGGAGAGTCTCGGTTTCTGGGACGTCCACGTTGGCGACATTGAAGTTGCCGTGACACTGGCTGCAAATCCTCCGCCCCAGGCACTTTGCAACCAGGACGTCCTCCCGCAGTCGCAGGTTGACGACCAGAGTTATGCTCGCGATCGAGTCCAGCGTTTTCTGCAACGAGAAAACACTCGAGTTTTACGTAAGCTTGACTACTTGAGCTACATAGTTGGCGATGGATCTGAGGAGAAAACTCACGGCTTGACTGGCAGTGCGAGGAAATCCATCCAAGATGAATCCAACGTCCTGATTTGCGGACGCTTCTTCCAGCCTCTTGGTCAAGAGGCCGAGAACGAGTTCGTCCGGAAGCAGCTTCCCTCGGCTCACTAAATCCTTGAGCTGGATCAAAACGATGCCATAAGAAACCATGCAAAAGTGTTCTAGAACTTGGAAAACACAAACTAGAACCGATATATGATCAAGAACTTGGGAAGACACATGCAAAAGTGTTCTAGAACTTGGAAAACACAAACTAGAACCAATATATGATCAAGAACTTGGAAGAACACGAGCCAAAAATCGCAACAAGCCTTGGAGAACTAGGAGCGACTAGAATTCAAGTGATCGAGGCTAGAACATTGGATGAAGCTAAACTCATCGTACCTCTTTAGACAAAGGAGAGTCTCGTTTCAACTCCTGCCTCACGAGATCGCCCATTGCGATGTGAGGAACGCGCAAACCCAGCGCGAGCCGGCTCGCGTAGGTTCCTTTGCCAACGCCGGGGCATCCCAGAAAGACCCACTGCATCCCGGGCCAGCTCTTGCAGCCCACATTCTCGTCCAGCACTCCATCCTCGGGGAAATCCTCCCAGTTGTAGGCGACCTCGCTAGCGCCCACGAACGATCGCCTCAAGCTTGATCGACCGGCCACGACTCTGGCGGAGCTTAATCGCCGGCCCAGGACCGCCGCCATGTCGAGCCGAGCTAGAAGAAAACTTACCGAGCTTTGGCGCGCCGCCGCCGCCGCCGAGCGCCGGCACCCCTGCTCCTCCTGTCACGAGTCCATCTTTCAGCAAATCTTGACCGTTGGATTACTAGGTTGACTGGAAGGCCCGTCGCGGGTTCGAACCTCGCGCCCTCGGGAAATCTCTTCAAACGCCCAAGTGTGGCGCGCGGCGAGCCCGAAGAACGTCCGTGCTAACCAAGGCCTCTCTCGCATATCGATCGTCTCCATCCAAGCAAAACCAGGCAACATTCTATCGATGGATTCTCCAGGCGTAGCTTTGCATTTAGTTCTTGTAGCGATTTCTGGGTTTCTTCTTCCAGCTGCGAAGCCCTTCGACGCAGTGGACAGAGGCACCCCCAGGACGATCAGCAGGGTGAGTTGCGGGAGAATTCTCACAGCCCTCTACGAGCTCGTCGACACGCTCTACCACGAGACGGTTGTCCGGCCCGGAGACGCATTCGACGATCTTGAAGAGATCGACAATGGCAAGAAAGTCTACCTCCGGCTGTGGTATTTCGATCCTGCCCGCTCTGGCGATGATTCTTGCAGCACCACCCCGCTGCTTGGCCCAACCCATGTTGGCTCTGATATCGTCCAGGATTTCAAAGGCATGGTTGATCACCTCAAGAATGTTGCAAACATCGAGCACTGGGGGTATAGCTACTACACAGGCGTGGAAGGCAACCTTGGCATCGAGTATGCCCTGGAGGACGCGGTGGACGATAGGCTATCCAGCAGCTCTGATAACGCTACTCCGGAAATCCCCGGCGATTACCATCTTTCATCCTCACCCGTTGCTGACTGCCATCCTTTCAGAGGCGGTCTTGTAAGTGGAAAGTGCCAAGAGGAAAACGAGCACCCTCCGAGCTGGTTTCTCGCTCATCTCGCCCAACAAAATCTTTCGGCTTACCATGCAGGGGGATTGCAACTTGGTGCTGTATGATATCAAGGATAATGTTAAGAGAGCCGTGTGGGCGAGTGGCACATTCCTGGCGGCCAAGGCGTGCTACTTGAGGATGCAGCTTGACTGTAACCTTGTAATATATGGGAAGGTGATGAATGTTGTGAAGGCTTTGTGGGATACAAAGACTATGGTGTGTAAGAGGTGTGTGGTGGCGTGCAGCCTTGTCGTTCAGGCAGATAGGAATGTGGTGGTGTATAACAATAGGGAACGCAAGGCGGTCTGGGCAACTAACTCAATGTTTACATAAAAGCACAAAACATAGTTAATGTTTATGAAAATAATTTTATTTAAAACCAATATAAAGTTTTATTAAGTAAAGAAATGCAACTTCATATTTTATTCAGACATTACACTTACAATAACAAAAAATTCACTGAATAATATAATCTTTGCTCTCGTGGATTATATTTATTTAAATGATTGAGTTTTTCGTTTTGCATTTTAGAATTTACAAAATCTACAATTTATCTCACTAAAAATATGAAGTTCTTTACATACTATATATGCACATAAAAATATTATAAAACTTTTATTATAAAACATCAATTTAAAAACAATGTTTTGATTTACAAGTTACAAATTTGTTTATAATATGGTGATGGCCCAATATCACTTTTTAATTATATATTACTTTTTAACTTATTATTAAACATTTATCTCAGTACCTCTTGTACAATATGTTTTAAGCTATACTATATAGTTTATATTAGATTTATAAGTTATAAAACTTTTCATTTTTAATCAACTTTTTTAGAGGTTTTACTAAAACTTAAAAAGAATATATATCAAATATTAACACATTAATAATACATTTTTAGTAAGTGCAACTTTTATCCTTAAGCCCGCAGCGCTAACGAAGTTGAGAGTGACAGCCCTAAGTAGAACTGAGCAACGAGGCGATGCGATGGACATGGCCGCCACCGCGAAATGTAGGACACTGTCGCTTCCCAGGTGGTGTTTAGCCAATCTGTAGCTCCATTCTAGATCTTGGTTCATCTATCCATTCACAAGAAGAAAGAAGAGAGAGGGATAGAGGAGGAGAGAGTGCTCACGGTGGATCATGGATCCCGAAGGGTTCCCGGGAGCTCTCTTTCGGGCCTGGGAGCCTCGCCTACAGGGCGGCGCCACTGTCGCTCATCACCCAGTTCCCGCCGCTGGGAATGTAGCTCCAAATCCAAATGCCGCCGCCGCCGCCGCTGCCGCCGCCGTTGGAAGAGGAGGAGCTCTCGATCACCACCACCACCGCCATCTTCCTCCTCGGGCTTTCGAGTTTGGTTTCACCTCCGCCGGACCTGGGGGAGCCCCGCTGCCTCTAGCGCCGCCGCCGCCTCCTCCGCCGCCTCCCCGCCGCCGAGACGCCAAGACGCTGGACGAGCTCTTCAAGGACTATGGCGTGCGCATCACGACTCTGGCAAAGATGGCCGAGATGGGATTCACGGTCCAGACGCTGGTGAACATGACGGATCAGGAGTTGGAGGACGTGATCAAAACAATGCTCGAGGGTTACCACGTCGAGCTCCTGGTGGGAGAGAAGTATGGGATCAAGTCGGCCATTCGGGCGGAGCGGAAGCACCTCGAGGACGATCTGGAGCGGCAAAAGTCGTCGTCCAAAGCTCAGCAGCAGCCTCCCAGAACTGTGGATAAGAGGCGAAGGCTCGAAGATCACGCTACGGCTTCCAAAGAAGGTACGCACCTCTTTCTCTATCCTCCATTGTCTCTCTATCTTCCGGGCTATACAAGTTTATATTCTCGATCGTGTTCCAGTGCCTGGAAGAAGAGACAACGTTAGCAACAGTAACACCGCAGCCAGCATACTAATACCAGATGGAATTGGAGGAGCCCTTGTGGTGAGAGATCCTTTACTTCTAGCACAGCAGCAGCAGCAGCAGCAGCAGCAGGAGCACCCACAACAGCTGGTCGCTGGAACGAGCATCGTTCCGGCTGGCGACGCCGGAGGAGGAAGTGATACCGAGAGGAAGAGGAAGAAGAAACAAAAGCGCAAAAGGTCCAAGGACGATGGGGAGGACGGCGAGGAGGACAGGCCGAGAGAGCACCCCTTCATAGTGACGGAGCCCGGAGAGCTTGCCAGGGGGAAGAAGAACGGCCTCGACTACCTATTTGATCTCTACGAGCAGTGCGGGAGGTACCTCGATGAAGTCCAGCAACAGTGCAAGGAGCGAGGAGAGAAGTGTCCTACGAAGGTAAAGTTGGTCATTTTGTTCTTGATAGAAAGCAATGGAGTTCCTTACGCTGGAAAGTCGGTCTTTGTAGGTGACGAACCAAGTGTTCCGGCACGCCAAGCACCGGGGAGCGAGCTACATCAACAAGCCGAAGATGAGACACTACGTCCACTGCTACGCGCTGCACTGCCTGGACCTGGAGCAGTCCAACCATCTGAGGAAGGTGTTTAAGGATCGAGGAGAGAATGTTGGAGCGTGGAGGCAGGCTTGCTACTATCCGCTGGTGGAGATGGCGAGGAACCTCAACTGGGATATCGAGGGAGTTTTCAGCAGGAATGACAAGCTGAGGATATGGTATGTTCCGACCAGGCTGAGGCAACTCTGTCACTTGGAGAAGAGCAAAGAATGCTGAGGAAGGAAAACAAAATGAACGCGGAGAAAAAGCTCAAGTGTTTGTGCGATTTGCTCTTGACTGCTATGGTAGATCTGGATTCAGAGCCTTTAATTTGTCCTTCAGTTCACCAGACTGTGGACCAAAAAGAGAATTTTATGTCAATTCTTTTGTTGCCTCTTGTTTGCTTCTTACCCGATGCATGTTTGTGACAATGTCACAGCCACCGACAAACTCGCCTTTGATATAAACTTGAGGAATCGTCGGCCACTTGCTGAGAAAAACGAGAAAAAAAAAAGAACAATTCTGTCAAGCTCAGGATGGATAGATTGGTTTACCTGAAAGATTTTACGCCTTCCCTGAGCTCGGCATCCTCAAGCACGTTTCTAGAGCTAAAAGGAACCTCTGCGTGGATGAAAAACGAGAAAAGAATCAAAACCAAGAGATCGATCGACTGGGAATAATTTTCCATACCGTAGTGCTTGAGGATTCTCACCACCATGGCACTAAAGCCACACTGTGGAGCGTCCGGATTGCCTTTCATATACACCATCACGGGGTTGCCTTGAATATCCTGGATGGAAATTCTCCTCGTCAATGGAAGGAAAAACACACAGAGATGCAAGAAAGAACCTTCTCGATCATCTCGTGGACAGATCCAGCAGCAGTCTTCGCAACAGGCTTGAAATCATCGTGAGAATCCGCATTGTTCTCCGGGGCTTTCGTGGAGAACGCGAAAATTCTACTACTCCACGATCCTGGAATGCAATGCGATGCTCTAGAATGGAGCCGGTAAAAATTCCAGTACCAGATGAGGAGGAGGGAGAGGCGCGCCGCCTTGCCGCTGCCCTTACAGCGGCCGCGAAGCTGCTCATGGATGGTAATGCGCAAGAGCCCTAAATCTGCGAATATGCCCTTGTTTGAAAGCTCCTCGCTTTTTCCCCTATAGTAAATTCGCTGGAGGTGGAAATTCCAGCGAAGCGGGGATAGCTCAGTTGGGAGAGCGTCAGACTGAAGATCTGAAGGTCGCGTGTTCGATCCACGCTCACCGCATCTCTTTATAAAGTTCGCTTTGGTCTCTTGTTTTGGTCACAAACGATGGTAGCATGTCCCTCTCTCTCTTGAAAACCTTTTTGAGGTTGCAAGCTTTTTTCTCGTTTGCATGGTTGGCAGGAACAGTCTGAAAGTCTGAGGCCCCAGCTGATTGATTCAAGCACTATAGGAAAAAGATGATACAGGAACAGAATATATGAAAATCGCAATGAAAACATATGCCATTTGGGTGGAACATCACGAAACATACGCAAGCAAACAAGTGGATGTCCAACTCCACAAAATAATCACACAGAATCCCACAAAATCATAGACTCCATCACGTTTTTCTAATCTACATGCATTTCTTATATTAATTCAGTCAAATTACCAAAAAGCTTATTAATCCTTCTCTCTATTTGTTTTTCTGTTTCTTTTCCTTTTTTTTTTTCGTTTTTTTTTTCCTTGTGTGCCTCTATTAGTTATAATAAAATGATGCAAGTTCCACCACCACGTCCATCAATCTCCCCTTTTTACCACCATTCTTTCATATAGTATACATACACCGAGCCAAGCCTTCTCGATGCCGCCGCCACCACCACCTATCGGATTATATACAAAACGTTGCCCGGATTATTTACTTCTGCGCACCAGAAGTCCCTTGTCTCCGCGGCAACCAGTGTGACTCTAGAAGAAAATGTGAAGAAAAGAAGAACCCAAGGAAGAGAGCTGGGGGACATGTCGTCGGAGATCGCCAAGCGCGAGCAGCCCAGCCCCGATCTAAAGCTGGCTGCTCGTTCGCCTCCGACGAGAGCTTGCCCCCAGTTTTGCCCACACCAAAAACGATGGGCGTTTCTCCCTCTTCCTCCCGACTGTGATCCAAGTGATAGATCCAATCCTATACCTGTTCAAACTCCTGCACACTACTTGTCTAGTAGTTCTCCTACAACCCCTGCCCGAGACCCCGATTGTACACACCAGTCAAACCATCCTCCTCCAAAGTAACCATTTTCCTGTCCACCACCACCTCCTCCACCTTTGTTCTTCCTGTTCTTAAGTTACCCTCAGAAATCCAAGTTGAGGATCCTGCGCAGTCCTCGAGTGGCCGCCTCCGTGTCCATGATCCTGGCAAACTCGGCCTGCACCGCCAGCATCTCCGGCTTCCTCAGCGAGAAGTTTGGAATCGGGAGAGAGCTGGGCGGAGGCGAGTTTGTGAAGGCCGGCCCGGCCCACTTCTCGTCGAACAATGGCGGAGGATAAAAGGCCTCGCCAAAGTTCCGGGCAAACGGGCCACCACACCCATCGCTTACGACGTTGTTGTTGTTGTTGTTGTTAGCAGCTCCGACTGGTTCTTCTAAAACTTTCGTTGTTCTCGTTGATGAATCTACAGTAGTAGTAGTAGTAGTAGTAGCAGCCACCTTGGTAGCCTTCTTCTCCTCCTCTTTCTCCTCCTCCTTCACTAAAACACCACCTCGTTGTTCTTCCTTCTTCGTCTCTAGAGCGGCGGCGGCGGCGACGATTTGGGCCACCACCTTGACGACTTTGACGGACTTGGCAGTCCTAGCAGCACCGTCACGCTGCCTGTTCTTCGCGACAACTCCAGCACCCGCTTTCACCACCGGATCATCCGCCCTCTTGCTCGAACCCTTCACAGCGGCGTTCTCGGGAGCCGAAAGCCCGTTCTTTGCATACACCTCCGACAGTGGGAGCCCGGTGATCTTGGCCAGATCGCGCATTGCGGCTTCCTTGGACTGCGGGCGCTGCAAAATCGTGATTTTGGGTGGCGACTCCTCCTTCCTGGTGCCACCCTTGTCCTTCTTGACAAAACCCATCTTTGATTTGGGCTTCGGGGCGATTCCATTCTCCCCGACCTTGCTGCCCTTGGTTTTATTGCTGCCGTTGCCTCCTTTGCCAGAAACCTTGGTATTCCCTTTCGCGTTCTTGGAAGGGGAAGATCTCCCCTTTGGAGGTTGATTCTGGTTCTGGGACAATCGGCCGCTGGCAGTGGACGGCCGCGCATCCGCCGTCCGAGAGAGTGCAACGGGAGAAAGAGGGGAAAAATCGGTCACGGAACTCGTTCGCTGGATGGATCTAGACGCTGGCGACGAGAGATCTGCCTTGTGATACCTGGGAGGAGTGGAGCGCGGGGAGAAGAGATCCATAACACTGCGCTTCTGCCAATACTGGTGCTGTGATAGCTGATCTTGCGACGGCAGCACCAATGTCTCCATAATCTCTAGCAATTCTATCAAGCGCCTTCCTTCCCTCAACTCTGATGATCATGCCACTGGCAAACAAAAGAATAAAAAACCTAGCCGCCATAGCCAAAGGACGCCATAGCCAAGTAACCGTGCCCGTCGCCAGCATATTCCGCTACGTTTGCCGACGCGTAAAGATATTCCACGCATCGCCGGTCAAGCTCCAGCCGCGTGGCACCGCGCCTTTGAAAAAGTTTCGCCGACGGCGACCGACCACGTGTCGCACGGCGATTGTGTGCACTGCTAAGTGTCGTTAGCTGGCGATTACATTAATCTACATCCGCGTTTATACGTAAATTTACATTAAATACACCACATTTTATATCTCCAAGACTTGACACGCAACCAGCTCGACGCGGCCAAAGCTCTTGCTCGCGATCACCGTCCACGATTCCGCCTCGGAATCCCCCGCGCCACGCCCGCCGTCGATCTCCGCCCGCAGAATGGTCACGTTGTTCCCGGCGTCCTTGGTCACCACATGAAGGCCGCTCCTCAGGCACCCGAGCAAGTATGGCGACTCCGACTCGGTGGAGAGATCCAAGACCATGGGCACCTTCCGCACCACCACCCTCCAGCAATCCTGCTCGAAGTCATACACCTTGATCTTGCTGCCCTCGGCGGTGCTCATCGGATCCAGCGAGAACAAGCTCCCGTTCACCACCACGCTCAGCTTCATCCCGGCCTGGCGAGCCGGCCACCCCTCGCCCATCCCGCGCGGCATCTCCTCCCACCTCCCGGACACCGGATCAAACACCTCGCCACCAACGTCCACGAAGAAGGGCCACGAGTAAAGCGACTGCGGCACCCACAGCTTCCCCCGGAACGCCGCCATCCCGGTGGCGATGGGCTTGAGTATGTCCGTCACGAACGCCGTGGGAAGAACTTGGGCGCCCACGAACGGCATGCTGGGGATCGCGCTCCAGGCGTCGGCCTCCGGATCGTAAACCTCCGCCGACTGGAGTGGAGTGAGGCCATTCCGGCCACGGTTCACGCCACCCACAGCGTACAAGTTGCCATCCACCAGCCCCGTCTTGCAGTAAGCTCGCGCGGTCCCCATGGCGGCGGCCTTGCTCCAGGAGTTTGTCCGCGGATCGTACTTCCACACCGAGGACGTCGCCGAGGCCTTGGAGAATCCCCCCAGGACGAACAGGCAGCCGTGGAGCTCCGCCGCCGAGCAGCCGAAGAATGGGATCCTCTCGGAGGAGTCCTTCTTCCCAAACAGCGACCTCACCATCCCGGAGATGGAAGAGCCGAGCTCCCACAAGCTCCATCCGGCGAGATCTCTTTCCTGCTGCTGCTGGCGATGGTGCTGGTGATGATCCACGTCGGGCATGGGCGGCAATCTCCGCCACTGGGCCGTGAGTGGATCAAGCGCAAACCACACCAATTCCTCCTCCTTGTCTTTCATGAGCACGTAGAGCCACTCCTCCACCACGCCCAGCTCGCGCCTCAGCCGGAAGATCTCGCTCGAGCTCATGACCTGCCGCCACGAGCTACACACGAGCTTCATCGCCGGATGCCGCGAGCGCGGCACCCGCGCCAGGGCGTGCATCGCGACCTCGTCCGGAAGCCCTGGAATCAACTGCCACTGGTGCTCCCCCGCGATGCGCCTCTGGCGCTTCGAAGAGTCGCCGCTGCTGCCGATCGAAGGAATGGCCGCTGCATTACCGGCGCCTCCAGGCCGGGAATTCCCTCCCGGATCCGCAGAGCTCCAAGAGGCGCCCATGGATTTCCTGCGCGAAAACCCTGCGCGCCGTGCCCGGCGATGGATCCAGGAATGCCTAGAGGAGGAATCCTTACATGGCGCTCGCGGATCGCTGGCCCTCGCTTAGGGTTTTTGGCCCGGGGATTCGAACAAGCAAATGCACAAAATATCCTCTGTTTTTAGGGTTCTTCTCAAAATATCCTCTGTTTTAGGGCTCTTGTGAAATCCCCTGTTTCAAGAACTTTGATCTTCTTCGTCGTCGCCTTGATCTTCCTCGATTTCTTCTTCACCATCCTCGTCCTCCTCCTCCTCCTCCTCGCTTTCATCGCTTTCTTCTTCTTCTTCCTCCAGCTGCGATTTCACACCATAGCTTTGATTCAAGTAGTCGATCCCCGAGCTCGTGAAGAGGATCTTGTCCGCGCGAAGAACATCGTAGAGATTCAGGCTCCGCGGCGTCAGCATCTTCACCGTCTTGATGTTCCTGCTCGATTTCTCCAGGAAATCGTTCACATTAGTCGCGAAGATGAGCGAGTGCTTGCTCACGTCCACGCCCCATCTCTCCATCGCCGCCAGGAAGAACTTCGTCTTGGGCTCCGTAAATTTCTCTTCGAAGTCCTCCACCGCGATGGAATCCACCGCCGCGCTCTGGAGAGCCGTGCTGATCGCGAGCCTCTTCTCCTTCTTGTTGATCTTGATCCCCCAGTCCTTGGGCTTGGGCCCAAACACGATCCCTCCGCCAGGCCGCAGTGGCGTTCGCTGCGATCCCCGGCGCGCTCTTCCCGTCCCCTTCTGCTTGTAGGGCTTCCTCCCTCCTCCGCGAACCTCCGCCCTCGTCTTGGTCGACGCTGTGCCGCGCCGGCGATTCTGGAGCTCCGTGATCACGCCCCTGTGGACCAATCCCCGGGCCGTGTGAGCGCTGGCGACCTTGAGATCCAGGAACACCGAGCCCGTGCACTCGCCATCGAAGGAGAAGAGGGGCAGCGTCGCTCCTCCCGACGAGGAAGCCGCCCTAATCGTCGCGTTCCGCCGGGATCGCTCCACATTCTGTGGCGCTGGCGCTGGAATGGCTGCTGGGCTCTGGAAGAACGAGGATCTCACGCTCAATCCCTCGTAGACGACGCACCTGGGATTCCATGCCGGGGAGAGCGTCGTCGCCATAGCCATTAGGGTTCTTGGCAGGGGATAAGGCAATCTGGACCGTTGGAATTCAAACCAGAATGCCGCTCTTCACCGTCCGATCGCGGCGGGAAGAATGGGAGAACGATCCCTTCTCGACGAAGAACGAGCTCTCCTCGCAGCTACTGTCAGATCCGCGGGGAATTCCAAAAGCTTGGCTCGAGGAAGAGAGATCCACTGCCAGATCCTCGCCTCCCCGCACGCCCACAGCAGATTTCTCAGCAATCTCCTCATCGAGATGTATGGGAAATGCGGCAGCGTCGAGGACGCCGAGGCCGTCTACGAGCGAATTCGCGAGCCCAATCTCTTCACCAACAACATCCTGATCGCGTGCTACGCCAGGAACGGGCAATTCCACCGCGCGGAGTCTCTCTTCGATCGGATGCCCCAGAAAGATTCCGTGTCGTGGACAGCGATGATCACGGCCTATTCCAACGCAGCAAAGATCGACCTCGCGAAAAATCTCTTTGATCGCATCCCAGTCCCCAGCCCAGAGTCATGGAACGCCCTCGCCTCAGCATATACTCAAAATGGGCAATTTGATAGAGCGCTCGATCTTCTCAACAAAATGCCCAATAAAGATTTAGTGTCATGGAATTCTATCATAACAGGTCTAGCCCAAAGCGGGCAGATCGAACTCGCGAGAAAGGTGTTTGATCAAATGGAAAGAAAGAACATTGTCTCCTGGAACACCATAATCACGGCATATGCCCAAAGTCGGGATCATTCTCAAGCCAAGAGCCTCTTTGATCGAATGCCAGAGAGGAATTCCACATCCTGGAACGTCCTCATCACGTCATACACAGAGAGGGGAGACCTCAATCGTGCTAAAACTCTTTTCGATTCAATGCCCAAGAGCGATGATCTCACTGCCTGGAACTCAATGCTCGCCGGCTATGCCGCACGGGGCAATCTCCAAGAATCCATCGCCCTATTCCAGCGGATGCCCGCGAAAGATACCACCTCGTGGACCAATCTTGTCCTTTCACACATCAGTAGGGGTGATCTCCGCGGCGCACAAACAACATACCAGCAAATGCCCCAAAAATCCACACACTCATCCACCACAATCCTCACCGCTTTTGCCCAGCGCGGAGATCTCACCTCCGCCGAATACATCTTCACCCACATAACACCGCCGGACACGGCCGCCCGCAACGCGATGCTCGCGGCATATTCGCTCAACGGTCACCTGGAAGATGCCCGGCGAATATTCGACGCCATGCCCGACCGGGACGCTATCTCCTGGACCTCGCTCATCTCCGCCTACGCGGCGCGCTCGGAGGCGCTGGTGCTCTTCGCGAGGATGGATCTGGAGGGCGCCGCGATCGATCGAGTCGCGCTCGTTGCCATCGCCGACGCCTGCGCGGACCTCTCACGGGGGAGGATGATCCACTCGGAGATCCGTGCCATGGGCTTCCACCGCGACCGCCGGGTGGGCACCGCGCTGATCACGATGTACTCTCGGTCCGGCAGCTTGGAGGAGGCGGCGTTGATCTTCGAGGATTTGCCCGAGAGAGACGCCCAGTGCTGGAACTCGATGATGGCGGCGTATGCCCAGCTCGGGCATATCATCCAGGCCGTCCGTCTCGCCCAACTCATGTGCCTCGACGGTGTGAGATGGGACGGAGTGACGCTGCTGTGCCTCCTCTCGAGCTGCAGCCATGGAGGAGCCTTCCAGATCGGGTACGAGCTCTTCCGCTCGGCAAGCACGGATTTTTCCGTCGCGAGGGGCGCGGATCACTACGGCTGCATGGTCGATCTCCTGGGACGAGCCGGATGGATGGAGCAAGCCCAGGAGCTGCTGGACTCGATGCCTTTCGTGCCAGATCTCGCGGCCTGGACGAGCTTCATAACTTCCGGAGTAACACATCACGGCACCAAAGTTTCCAGATCTGGCCAAGCCATTGTTTCGCAAAGCTGATCATCGCTCATCCTGCAAGAGCACACAATCATTAGTAAAGAGAGAGAAAGAATGCTAAACTTCCAGAAACCACGCGTACCTGGAAAGTCTGCCATTTCATGATCACCACCATGCCTTTTATGTCGAAGGCTCTCATAACTGGTGTCCTGCCCCTGTCGCGCTGACGCTGCCGCTGCTGCTATCCGACGGCTCCAGGATTTCCATCAAGTCGGCACAGTCGATCGACACTATCCAGTTCTCCTGCTTCACTTGCTTGAGCTTGTCCACAACCTCGCGCATGCTCGGCCTGTCCCCGAGCGACGAGCTCGTACACATGAGTGCCGCCTTGAGCACCAGCAGCATCTCCAGCCTCTCCGTCCGGGACACCTTTTGGAGCAGCGGGTCGATGAGATCGTCCACGCTCGCCTTCTGGCTGATCCTCAGCCGCACCCAGCTTACAATGTCCACGCCGTCTGGAAAAGTTGGATCCACAGGGAGCTTGCCAGTCACCAGCTCCATGAGAACCACTCCAAAGCTGTAGATGTCCGTCTTCTCCGACGCACGCATTGTGTACGCGTACTCTGCAAGGAAACAGAAAGCCATGAGAACACCGCTGGATAGATAGAGAACTTGCAAATCTAAACAGCAAGGAGAAAAAACGGAAGAACAGGCAACAGGCATAATAGCACTTCGACACAATGAAGAAACATTACGGAAGTACGTACCTGGAGCGATGTAACCATAGGATCCCGCGAAAACGGACAGTGTGTGAGAGCTGCTGCTGCTGTCAATGATCTTGGCCAGGCCAAAGTCGCCTAGGTGCGGCTCATCCCGGGAGTCCAGCAAGACGTTGTTGGACTTGATATCACGATGAACGATCCGCGGAGCACAGTCGTGATGCAAGTAAGCGATCCCTTCGGCAATACCAACGGCAATCCGGTGTCTCGACTCCCAATCTAAAACACCCGCATTGTTCTTCTCGGTACAGGCCGACCCGTGTAACCGATCAAACAAGCTTCCGTTGGGCATGTAGTCGTAGACGAGCAAGTTGACGCCTTTGTGCGAACAGAAGCCGACGAGGCGGACGAGGTGCCTGTGCCGGATCTTGCCCAGAGTCGAGACCTCGCGGAGAAAGCTCTTGTCCTGCGTCGGATCTCCATCTCCGGCGACGTCAACTTTCTTCACGGCCAGAACTTCGCCCGATGGTAGAATCGCCTTATACACTGTTCCGAATCCACCACTTCCGATGATGTTGAGATCGCTGAGCGAGTCCGTGGCTTGCATCAGATCGCTGAAAGTGAGCTGCCTGCTGAGCATCGGGAACAACCTGTGATCCTTGTAGAACTTTGTGGAAGCAGCGAGACGAATCCTGCCACGGTCTCGCTTGTAGAAGACGAGAATATAGATGGCGGATCCCAGAGTGACGAGAGCGACGAGCGAGCACACCAGCGACGCGATTAGAACGATCCGGTGTTTTTTTCGATGAGGTGGCCTGCTTCCGCTGGAAGTCGTAGAGCCCGGATCGCTGGACGAACCTTTGCATGCTGGGAGGAGAATGACTTTGCTCTTGCTGGAAGTGGACGAGGATGACAAACTCTCGCTGCAAAGATCCCTGTTGTTGGAGAAGGAACTCTGCGTCATTCGATCGAAGACCGGGCCGCTAGGAACAGGCCCCGAGAGGTTGTTGGACGAGAGGTTGAGCGACAAGAGGCTGATCATGTTGTTCGCCAGGGACTCCGGGATCGTTCCAGAGATCGCGTTGCTGGACAGATTCAAGACCTCCAGCTTGGAGAGCATGCCGAGCTCCGGAGGGATGCTGCCGTTGAGCCGATTGAAGCTAAGATCCAGCGACGTTTGCAAGTTCTGGAGCTTTCCCAGCTCTCGCGGGATCCCGCCCTGGAGACTGTTGCGGGAGAGGTTTACCTCGAGCAGCAATCCACAGTTTCCAATGGACGCTGGAATCTGCCCCTCCAGATCGTTCCCTTGGAGCTCCAAGAACTGGAGCGACTGGAGAATCCCTAGCGCCGCCGGAATCCTCCCGCTCAGCCTGTTCTCCGCGAGCTTGAGCGTCGAGATTTTGGGGCAGCCGCTGATGATCGAGCCAGGGATTTCGCCGATGAGCTCGTTCTGGGACAGATCAAGCTCCCCCAGCTGCTTGAGGCCGCCGATCTCCTCTGGAATCCTACCTTGGAGCCGATTTCCATTCAGCTTGATGTGCGTGAGATTCTTGCAGCTCGCGAGAATCGATGGAATGGCCCCGGCCAAGCGATTGAAGCTGAGATCCACGAAAGAGAGAGCCGTGATGTTCCCCAGCTCCGCCGGAATCAAACCCTCGATCTTGTTCCCGCCCAAACGAAGCCTCCACAGAGTTGAGGATATTCCCAGGCTAGGAGGGATATTCCCGCCAATGCCATTGTCCGTTAGATCAAGAACCTGGAGCGCGCCCGACGATCCAAGAAGTGGAGGGATTTTCCCGCCGAGGAGATTATCGGAGAGATTGATCGTCGTGAGGTTGTGGCAGCAGCTGGCGATGGATTCCGGCACGGCACCAGTGAGATTGTTCTGGTAGAGCAGCAGCATCTCCAGATCGGCCATGGCGCTCGTTAGGTCTTGGGGAATCGCCCCGGAGAGGCTGTTCTCCGCAAGATCGAGCTTGCGCATCTTGGCGCACCTCGCCATAGGCGCCGGGATCGATCCAGACAGCCGATTCCTTCGCAGATGGAGAAACGTGAGCGCGCCAAGGCCGCCGATCGAGCTAGGGATGGCGCCGTCGAGGAGATTCTCGGAGAGATCCAGCAACGTCAGCTTGGAGCAGCTACCGATCGAGGCTGGAATATTGCCGCTGAGCTTATTGCGGTAGAGGTAGAGCTCATCGAGCTGCTCGAGCGAGCCGATCGAGGCCGGGATGGATCCGTTGAGCTGGTTCTCATACAGCGCCAGCACTGCCAGGTTCTTGCATGATCCGATCTCCTCCGGTATCGACCCCGTCAGTGAATTCGATTGGAGCACCAGGTCCGTGAGCATCGATAATCTCCCGATCGACGCCGGGATCGTCCCTGTGAGCCGATTGCTCGAGAGATCCAGCCGCTGCAAGCTCCTGCATTCCCCGATCTCTCCAGGAATCTCGCCGCTGAGCCGGTTGGATCCCAGGAAGAGCTGCTCCAGCCTCGCCAGGCCACCGATCGAGGACGGGATTTCTCCTGATAGTTGATTCATCGATAGCGCCAAGTTCTCCAGGCTAGCCAAGCTTCCAATCCAGTCCGGGATGGGCCCCGAGATGGAATTCTCGGATAGATCCAGCGTCTCCAGCGCCGCGAGCTTGGCCAGGGAGTCGGGCAGCTGGCCCGTGAGATCGTTGCCCTGAAGATTGAGGTAGACGAGCTGACGGCACTGCCCGACCTCCTCGGGGACGCTACCGGACAGCGAGTTATTAAATATGGAGAGCGTTTGAAGAGCCGCGAGGTCCGAGATGCCGCGCGGTATGGGGCCGGTGAGGCGATTTTCGGACAGCCCGAGGACGGTGAGCTGGCGGCACTGTGTGACCTCGGGCGGTATACCGCCGGAGAGGTTGTTGTAATGGAGCATCAGCGACTCGAGGGCGACGAGCTGGCCGATGCCGCGCGGTATGCCGCCGGAGAGCTCGCAGTTGGCGAGGCCCAGGATCTGGAGAGAGTGGAGGCCTGCGATCGAGTCTGGGATTGGGCCGGAGAAGAGATTGTCGCCTGCGCGGAGGACTTGGAGCGTGGAGAGGCGGCCGATCTCGCTGGGAATGGAGCCCGAGAGCAAATTGGAGTAGACGAGGAGCTCGGTCAGTAGCGTGGCGTTGGCGATGGAAGCTGGGAGTGGTCCTGTGAGGCTGTTCTCGTTGAGGCGCAGGCTGCGAAGGCTGGCGGGTAATTGCGAAGGCATCGGCCCCGAAAAGGAGTTATTGGAGAGATCGAGAAGCTCCAGCTTGTCGAGGTGGGCGATTGCCGACGAGGAGATCGAGCCGGTGAGAGACGTGGAGGTGAGATTGATGGCGGTGACTCGAGCGTGATCACTGCAGGAAATCCCGGACCACGAACAGGGGTCGCTGCTGCTGGTGCTGCCATTTCGGTGACGATCCGGAGGAATCCAGTCGCCGGTGGCGTTCAAAGGGTCGGCTTGGAACCCGGCCTTGAGCTCCAGCAGCCATTGCAAGTCCGGCGAGGAAGAAGCTCCAGTGGCAGCGATCGCGAAGAAGGTGGCCAGAGCAGCGAAGAAGACCATCGAGCCCATCGGTGATCGCTCCCTCAAAACCGAGCTACATTGCGAACGCGATCTACACACGGACAGAGCTCAATCACTACTCTCGAATCTTCAGTGACACCACTTACCAGGACGATTCTCCTTGGTGACCTTTCCAGAGTTCTTGGCGGAAGAGCGAGCGGAGATTTTTTTCCAGTGGAAGAATAATCTTGACGAAGATGACCTTGGAGGAGGAATGAAGGCGCAGACTCAAAGAAAGCGGTGGGTGAAACGCATCAAAGTCCAATGCGATTTCAACGCGCCAGCATTGAATGAAAGGGTTTGGTGTCACCCCAGAGCAGCAAATGCCTGCGTCGGGCAACGCAAAACCATGGCAAGCAAAGGCTCTCTTTCTCGTCGCTCCTGTTTTTTTTCTCCTTAGTATTTATCGCGCCCTCCAGCCTGTCCGGGTTCGAATCCGTCCAAGCGCAGGGGATTTTGCTTTTCTGTTAAGCCGTTTCCAGTCAACTTTTTAGGTTTGAACTTGTTTTTGTCCCTTTAGGGTTTTTGCGAATGATAAAGCTGTCTCTTCTCTGTGGCTAGCTTTTGAAGACTTCGTGTTTTAGGTGGGGACTTCCTTTTGACAGTGAAGAAAGACGAAGAAGATGGTGAATTCTTACAATGTCAATGCATTGCCAGAGCTAAGATTGAGATTGCTATAGAAGTAGCAACATAGCGGAGAATGCGCTTATAATTCTTCTGAGACCTAGACATCCATGATCGAATTGGAATCGGGAATATTCTCTTGTTGCCATCAACTTTTGACCGACCAAGTTGGCCAAGAACCAGAATCCCCGCTGACCGGCTCGGGATTAGCAAATCTCGTTTTCTTTATTATTATCATAGATAGTTCTTTGCCTTCGATCTCACTCCACCGGGGAAAAAGAGCGGCAAAAAAAAAACCATAGGGAATCTAACGAAATGTCTAAACAAGAAACATGTATAATCATCACATGAATGTTGGTTCTATTCCATTCCTTAAAAGCCTATCAATCCAACACAAAACTCCATATCAAAAGCTTATTATACGTTTTGCGCAGCATCGCGATCCGCCAGCGCTCGAGGCGCGTGCCGCATTCACTCGAGAGCGGGGATATTCGCGGGAATCCTCACGTGCTCACTTGAATGTACACGCTAGACAAGACCCCTGGGGAATATTCGCCGCCGCCTGGCGGGGCATCGCTTTTGGCCAGGTGTCCGCCGTGCACGCGCAATCATAAATTGTGGCCGGAATATGACGGAATGTGTGCGACACGTCGCTCTTCCGGCAGGTGGGGTGCCACGCCACGCCCACGTGTCACTGCCACGTCATGGTGCCTGGCCAGAAGTGGCATCGCATGGTTGCACCATCATGGGGCCCCATTCCATAAGAAGCCTCGTGCGCGCGCATGCATGGGCATGGCATTTGGAGTGAGATTTTGTTTTACCACCTCACGAGGACGATTTCCAAGTTCTCTTTTTTTTTTTCCAGTTTCCGAAAAAATTGTTGCCTCTGCCGGGGAAGCTCGATCTTTTCTTGCAGCCAGGGATCATCCAATTTCCAAGGTTTTCTTCCGTGAGATCAATCAACCTCGAATCCCCGCTTGCCAGGAGCTATAGGGCTACCTAGAGCTTTCTGATAACCACCGCGCATTGTGATGAGGAGATCTTTGCTTCAAAGAGAAGTGAAGCTAATCCTCAAGTTTGTGCTATTTACTTTGTAAGAGCTTTCTGCAAACCACCGCGCATTGTGATGAGTGAGATCTTTGCTTCAAAGAGAAGTGAAGCTAATCCTCAAGTTTGTGATATTTACTTTATAAATGGCCTACCAAAACTTTGGTTTTCAGCTCTTCTCAGCATCTTCAGAGCTCCGTGCTTCAGCCTTCTCATTCGAGTACCTGGTTATGAGAAAACAACGCGATTAGATGTGAGCAAAAACGAGCGAAAAGAGCTTCCCGCACTCACATAGATAGAATTGTCACCCAGACTAGCTCCACGCAATCCACCCAAAGCAGTCTCTGCTCCACTGGGATGAGACCATAAGTTACCAGGTGCGCAAATGGCCAAAGTTTCCAGCCGGCCTGTGTAAGGTGACGATTCATGAGAACTAGATTCTTTTGTGGATTGAGGAAGAGGAACTATACCGTGAGGAGTGGAAAGAACGTCGATCTAAGCTCAGACACAATTGTCACTGGGTTCTCTAAACGCAAGAGGCCGAGTGTGATGAAATACACGCTGTTCCAAAACGCTGACCAAATTGTTTGATCAAACCCGACCTTGAGGGGTACAACCCACCACTCCTTGAACGGAAAGAGAGCCTGCAATTTGCAATCTACGTAAGCTTTTGACTGAAACTCGATCAACACGGAAGAAGACGGACCTCACAAACATGGTAATAGTAATGCGAAAGTGATCCATGCAAGCAAAATCCCACAAGTCCGGATCTTAACATTCGCGTTCGACTGAAATCTAGCACAGGTTTTCCTTCGTAGCACTGAAAGGTACAGAGATGTTTAGCACAAGGAAAATGAAAAAGCATCAAAGTTTTGAAGTACCTGAGCCATCCAGTCACCGATCGAGTAAACGATGCCACTGATCATCATCTTCGCAAGAACGGGGTGGCTCCTGAGAGCCTCCTCGTACGCACTCCAGTTATGAACTGGCGCGTACTTGATGATCTCATAGAAAGTCCATCCCTGGAGGAAAAGAAACGTTTGAGATACGAGTTGACAAAGCTAACACAAAAAACTTACTTGCCAGTAGTCCTGATCCACCGTCACGATTTTTCCAAGAGCATAAGCCGCGGCTGCTGCTATCAAGCTCGCATTTAAAAATCTGTCCACTTGACGATCTTTGTCAGTCACAACGGAAGAAGGAGAAGCAACCAAAACTTGGACGTCCTGTTGAGACCCAGACGAAAATTCGAGCGAGTAGGAGCTTCCAGAATTCACTGGCTGGGGACGGGTTTCCGGAAGAACTTCCACTTCTTGTAGTGTAAGTGGAAGACTAGTTTCCGAAGGACTGGTTTCTACAGTCTCGGGTTCCACCATGGTTGCCCGTGTGGATACTTTTGTCTTTCCGTGACGTAGTGACGCCGATTTACGAACCGCGGATGAGCAGTAGCTCGAGGATGTGAAATTCCCGGACAGCAGCCGCTCGATCGAGCCGGCATTCTTGATTTTGGCCTTTGGAATCACCCGCAACGAAATCCCAGGAAGATTGAGAGATTCCATGCCCTGGAGACAGCAAAATCTAGAGTCAAATCCGCCCTAAGAGGAAGAAGATCCCTCTCCATACCTGCTGTATCGCTCAGCGCAATCCACAGCGTGACAAATCGCGGCCGCCAGGAGCTCCAAGAAGAGACTGAGAGAAGGCGCGAGCGGCGTGAGAAAAGCATGAGAGGGCTGGGACAGTCTCAAACATATTTATGTGCTGGATAGAGTCACGTATCGACGGACAAGATCTCGCCACGGTATCATATTTTATGGAAAACCTTGTGAATGTGATTAAATTCCACAAGGCTTGGGATATAACATTGTATCCAATCTTCGATATTTGATTTTTCCATGGTCTATGTGTGAAGGCTGTAGTTCGCCACAAGGCACCAATCACGCCTAGCCCCATATTCGTATGGCTGCCTCGTATTGTCAAACTTCTATTGAATGATACCTCTCTAGGACCACCAAAGATTCTGGCATATTGTCGTTTGGCTGCCACGTAGCTCAGAAACACGGCCTCGTACCTCTGGAAAACGGCCACGACAGCGCTTGTATGAATTCTCTGGATCATTCCTTGTATATATCTAGTAGCTTCTTCGATCTTTGCGAGAATTTTACGCTCTGGAAGGAAAATGGAGGACACGACACGAAATGCTTACTTCTCTGTCTAGTTAGACTTTGATCCGGATGATGAAGGAGCCTGATTCAAGAGAAGAGGTGAAAAGATTAGACAAGCAAGAGAAAGAGTGGAGTCCTCTACTTACAAGCAGGCAAGGCGGCGATCTCTGCCGAAACCGCGCATGGAACGCCGAGATTCGTGAGAGCTCCACGGATCAATCCGCAAGGGAAGTAGAGATACTTTCCTCCGGCTTGGGCTGCGGCGAGCGTGGTGTTGTTGGCTTCCGAGGGAGTGAGAGGCGAGTCCACGGAGATGCGAGTTAGCCATCTAAAGCGAGTGTCTTGCAGAACAAACACGCCCTGGGAGTTATCACACAAAAGAGGAAAACAAAACCAGCAATGGATGAGAGAGCGAGAAAAACTAAAGTTTGTTTTTGCGTACCCGGTGATTTGTTTTGAGATTGTCAATCTGCTTCTTGAAAACCTCCGCCCAGAAATCCTTGCATATGAACTTGATGACTTCCAAGTGATCTGTGAATCGCGGACGATCTCTTGTGTATCTGGAAAGAGGAAAAAAGATAGAAGAAAAAACCACCTTCTTGAGATTTATACATTTGGAACTTACAAGATCAATCCAAAAGGAAAATTCACGCAAGCAAGCAGATCCACTGGAACCAATCTAAGCAGATCAAGCCACATTCCTCGCAAGCATTTGAGCAGAAAATTTTACCTCTCCGCGAGCTGCTGTCCCACCTGGAAGCCGATCGCCTCGATCCGGCGAGCGGCCAGATCCGGCTTGGAAGAATGTAGCCTGTCGCAGTAAGTCGCCACCATCTCCATCGTGATTCCATCCAGGCAGCTCTCCGCGACCTCGCGCGATCCAGCCCTCATTCTCAAGAACCCTAAATTTCAAAACGTCTTGAAATTTTTGCTTATGACCTAAAGAGCGGCTCCTTAGATCAATGCCGATATTGATCGTTACCTCTCATCTTGAAATTTTTCTTATGACCTAAGAGAGAGCTAGATTGTGGATGGCCCCTCCGATCCCGGCGAGCGCCCAGCGCTCCTCAAATCAATGCTGATATTGATCGTTACCTCTGCCGCATTGCTCGATTCTCCAGCACCGGAGTTCTTCCTCCAGTACCTCAGGTTCCATCGGTCCTTCGATGCTGATTGGCGCCTCGGATTAGGGACTCTCACCACCGCGCTCGATCTGTCCATGGCTCGATTTGCTGGATTTGCCACTGGCTGGCGCGGGATGACGATGTCCTCGCCCTCGCCCGTGTGGAAGGAGCTGAGGGAGCTCCTGGCGGACTGGATTTCGGGGCTGGAGAAGCGCAGCATGGGGCTGGGATGGAGCGGATCGAGCGTGTCGCCTCCGTGGTTCGTGCCGTCGGGAGATTCTCGCAAGCTCATCCGGCACACCGGGCACGTCGCGTTTTGGCGCAGCCAGTGATCGATACACTCGACGTGGAAGCTGTGCGTGCACCAGGGAAGAACTCGCAGCGCATTGCCTGTATGAAATTCTTCCAGGCAGATGGGACACCTTTGATGTGAAGGTTTTTTGTTTGGTTTGATCGATCCAGAGAAGAATCACGAGCAGTATCATGGATGAGTGGAAGAATCGAGAAATTAATCTTACTTCTTGGGCGGTCCTGTTTGCTGTGCTTGCTGCAGAGATTGGTGGATGATGATCGGAAGCGATGCGATGACGCATGGTTCCAATCCATTCAATGTCCTGACCTACAAATTCGTGGATCTCTTGTTCATCATCTTAGAAAGAAGTAAGAACTGTAAGCTCTCAATCTTACTGATGTGTTCTCGCTATCAGTTTCATGGGACGGGGGGGAGGATCGCAAGCAGCAGACGAGCTTGATGACGAAATAGAGGACAAGGACGGCGGCGCCAAAGAATCCGACCAGCGTGAAGGCGCCCCCAATTGAAGCTCCCAACCACATCGAGATGGCACTGGGGAGCCAGGGCAGCACATACAAGCAGTGCATTGCTTCACGACAAGGCCTGAGCTTTGGAAGATCCCATTCACCATGTTGAAGTGGGAATATTCATGAAATCTATGAGCTCTAAATAATTGCATTTTCTAAAAGAAAAATAATTTATTGCATTAATAGTTGAATTAGTTTTAATCAATAAACTAAGGTTTTAAGTTAATTGAATATACATATTTCTTCTGTATTCCATGTATTCACCAGTTTTTATTATTCTAAAAAGTGCTTGGATTTATGCTTTTGGTTTAAATCTATCTTTTACAACATTTATTTTTGTAAGTTTTCTATTTCTTTTCTTTTGAATTTTTTATTTTCATTCGTCCTCCTTTGTAACAACCTCCTCCTATAACTTTGGAGTAGCAATTAATATAATTACTCAATGGTGATGGTGATGTTTATAGTGTGTGGTGTAAATCCTTCTACTTTTATTACCAATCCTTAATATGTACTATTAATCAAATGGTATCATCATTTATTAGGGATGATATGTACCATTAATTTAATCATTTTACTGTGATTGCCATTTATCATTATTAAAATGATGTTTGGTGTTTGCAAGAGTTTTCCATATATATTTAAACGATGGCATTATAGTGCTACAATATTTTGAGCACAACTACTTATACAGATTGGAGCCTTCTCCCAATATTTTCAAATGTATGCTTAGACATATTGACAATTGTGATGATGCCTTTCAATAATTACATCATGTTTGCTAGGGGCTTTATGTCAATTATGCAATTTAGTGTTTGTTTTTGAAGCTTTTAATTTTCATGTAGCTTGTATCAAATATGTCAAAGCGAATCAAGTTGAAAATATTGTAGCTAACATTTCATCAAAATCTTAATAGAACTTATACACTTGTTTTAGCCATTATATTGATGCTCTTTAATTGGCATGATGTTAGGAGACATCACTTCTCCCACTTATAACTGTATATGCTTGAACTCCACTTCCCATGGAAGATGCTTTTGTTCTAATAGAAATTAACACTACTATTGATTGTGTTCAAAAATAAAAGCAAAGACATGTGTGTCTTTGATATATACTATTAAACATATGATGAGGTTGGCTATATGTATTGGTGTTGTTTGCATTTCCCGAATTGACATTCTCTATTTTCTAGATGGCCTTAGCGTCAACAACATTATAATCATAATATTGTGGTGAAAGGTTTGAACACGAAGATTCTTCAGGGAAATAAGGAGTTATATAAGTAGTAGAGGTTTTTTATATAAATAAATCAATGACCCCTCCATCCTTATTTTGGGAGTACCATCAACATTTGGCATTGATTCATCTAGTATTCACTTTCTAAGTTTTTTTTTCATAACAAAAGGTTTTGTATTATCCTTTTTATATTGGTCAATATAGGTGTGACTTTATCTTCTAATACTCATTATGTTTTCTCACAGTCCCTAAGTCAGGAATAAGATTTATGGAGGTGGTGAGTGAGACTCTTCCAAGTGGTCAAAGGTCTATTGTTTAAAATTATATCATGCAGCTATAAGCGACTAAATTTTCTATTCTACTTTAATTACTTAACTACACTTCCGACCACTTGGAGAAGTCTCACTTACAACCTCCATAAATTCTATTCTAGACTTGAGGACTTTCTAACCCCATAAATGGCATTTATGCCACTTAGCTTTTGCACTTTGTCCAAATGCTCTATATGTCCGATTTTATGACTAACATTCAAAAGTACCCCTAACATATCAACCCATTACGCTAAGGTTATGCCCATTCCCTTTTATCACATTGATGATCCAACACCACTTGCATCACAATTGTAAGGGACTAAATTTTCTATTTTACTTTAGTCATTTAATCACATCTCCGACCACTTGGAAGAGTCTCACTCATAACCTCCCTAAGTCCTATTTTGGATTTATGCTTGCTAGCCCCGAAAATGGCATCCCCACCACTCAACCTTTGCACTTGGTCCAAGTGCTTCACGTGTCTGATCCCATGACCGACGCCCCAAGGTACCATCGACATATTAGCCCGTTACACTAAGGCCATGCCCCTTCACCTTGGTCACACCGGTGGTCTAACACCATCTGCATCATAGTCTTATCTCTTAAGGACTGGGCCATCCATCCATGAGTGATCATCCCAAATCCACTTCTTAGCATCCTTAGGATGCCCACAGACATGGGGATTAGCCTTCCCCAATACCCCTTTTCCAATCCCCACCAAGTCTCTTTCTGTCCATGGCCGTGTTCGCCAACACTGCCACTAGATCAAGGCCCACAAGCCCGACCACTAAGTCCTACGGTCCTCTGGGACTTCTTCCTCACACGACCATGTCCTTGGTCTCCACACTAGAGGATGGCCCCTTTTCCTTTTCACAGTCTGGGACTATAGGGCAACATTTTGGAACACCGTGGCCTTACGCAAGCCTTATGGGTATTCTCCCCGCCTTCCGCCTTTGGGTGCTCTAGCCATGGGCTTAGAGTGAGGTTCTGTTGAGCCATGCTAGGTATCCAAGTAGGTAGTGCCACCCACACTTGGATTGGGAACATCGACCATTCGATCTCTCAGGGGAACTAGAGTCGGCTCTTGAACACTTCACCAAGCTACCCTACTTATTGGTCCGTATTCACTCTAGTCTTGGACTTCCCAGTGGGCAGCTCATCACCTAACACTGGGTACAACCTTACTGGGCAAAACTAGCCTTTCCTGGCCAAATTGGCTCCACTGCAGTCCTCCCCCTACTATACTTTTGGAGCTCACCAAACCCCCCAGGGTCTGAGAGACAAATGCTTTGGGCTTTCACCCTCTCAGACTCAGACTCGGACTCGGACTCGGACTCGGACTCGGACTCGGACTCGGGCTCGGGCTCGGGCTTGGTCTTGGGCTCGAGCTCGGGCTCGGGCTTGGTTGTAAGACACAAATCCCTAAGCCCCAAAATGGAGCCGAAAGGGTGCCACGTGGTAGTGGCCGAAGCAAAAGCCAAACGAGTGTAACATGACCTTTCTTGTAAGACTTTCCTAGCAATGATTTCGTTTATAAAATAGCCCCCTAATGGGCTTGAGTGAGCTTCCTTTGGACTAAAAGGCTCTGACTTGAAAGGTTGAGAGCGGGAGTGGAACTCCCAATAGAGTGCTCAAGAAACGAGCATGAAGCGAGCAATAAGCGAGGCTCCAAAAAGGGACCCAAAAGGACCAACACATGACATGTGGAAGTGTCCGAGATGGAGTCCGAGATGGACCCGAGTTGGAGTCCGAGGTGGAGTCCGAGATGGAGTCCGAGATGGACCGAGACGGAGTCCGAGATGGAGTCCGAGATGAACCGAGACGGAGTCCAAGATGGAGTCCGAGATGGACCTGAGATGGAATCCGAGATGGAGTCCGAGAAGGACCCGAGATGGAGTCCGAGGTCGAGACCAAGACCGGGACTGAGACCGGGACCGAGACCAGGACCGAGACCGAGACCGAGACCGAGACCGAGACCGGGACCGAGGCCGAGGCCGAGACTGAGCCCGAGTTCGAGTTCGAGTCCAAGTCCGAGTCCGAGTCCGAGTTCGAGTTCGAGTCTGAGAGGGTGAAAGCCCAAAGCGTTCGTCTTCCAGACCTTGGGGGGTTTGGTGAGCTCCAAAAGTAGGACTGCATTGGAGCCAATTTGGCCAGGAAAGGCCAATTTGGCCCAGGAAGGCCAGACCCAGTGTTGGGTGATGAACTGACCACTGGGAAGTCCAAGACTAGAGTGAATACGGATTGACAAGTGGGGTAGCTTAGTGAAGTGTTCAAGAGTCGACTCTAGTTCCCCCAGGAGATCGACTAGCCGATGCTCCCAGTCCAAGTGTGGGTGGCACTACCTACTTGGATACCTGGTGTGGCTCAACGGAACCTCGCTCTAAGCCCATGGCTAGAGCACCTAAACGCGGAGGTGGGGAGAGTACCCACGGGGCTCGCGT